TGGACAGGAGGAGGGGGATATAACCTACTCCTTCCCCCCTTTTGGCTCAAGGGGGATGGACAACTGATCATTACCCCCCCTCCCACTTTCTCTGGTGGTTACACACAAAAGCTGCTGATTTTGAGCTCATTTTAGAACCCTAAAACGGCCAAAATGTATCGAATGTATTACACAGTACTGAAAACAGAACAAAAACTGTTTACGTTCCATTGTTATCCTAAGAAACATTTGAATAAATTGAGGGAATTGCATCTTTGCAACAGCTAGTACATAACTCTAACTACCTGTCTGTAATCTGGACTTGAGAGTGTCTGGTGCAATAGCAACTACCCAATTAAGAACTCCAGCCGTGCCACCAGCCAAAAGGACACGTAAAGGGCTCAGGTCCCCAGGACTGAAATAAAACAGATCGAGTCATTTTACAAAATTTTTTCAAAAAAACATTTGACATAATACTCAGTCTTGCCATTCGTTTCACAAATAAAACTAGCCTCTGAGCCTGTGTTCATTGTACATCAGGGTCACTTCTTCCTTTGTCACTGATGACCTTTGGAGCAACTATGTAGTTACCAAACTTCCTTAGGATGAGAATGTGATGAGTTTACAATTTCTACAAGTGTCTAGATTCAGAAACAAATGTTTGTTTTATTTCACAACGAAATAATGCTGCTAGAAATCCTTGAAATTTTGCTGACTTGCAGCCCTCTCAATGCATAGTTCTAAATCCTTCTGATTTTGAAGGATATTTAAAAATTGATGAAGGCAGAGCCTAGCCACTCGCCTCTGGAAAGCTTAAGTATATACATGTACAAAGAATCTCCTATTGGTCTCTTCCACAGAGAAGATTTGTGGAAATTTAAAAAGGTTTCTTGTAAAAAAGCAAAAGAATTAAGAATCTGAAATAATTACATGAAATTACAAAAAACGTTGATATAGCGAAATGCCTACAGTCATAGTTCTCGTGAAATTTAGAGCACCCAAAAGGTGGAGGGCCTAGTAATATATTTATCTTTGGAACAATGCAAAAGCATAGTAATAGTACATGCAAAAGGCCAACTTTGTGATTTGAAAAAGCCACAAATATTGCTACTTATGACGTACTTTTGACCCGCTGGTGTAAGCGATACTTTCAGCCATTCATACACCATGAAATACATGCCACTAGCAGGAACGTCTGCAAAGAAATCAAGAAGGGATTAGGAAAGCTGGGGAAAGAGATGTGATGATTCCAGATATTCCGTGCAGCAGTTACTAGGGTTATTGCAAAGAAGTGACATAACTAAATGAACTGCAGGACTTTTGATGGGGGATGAAATTAAATCCTTTAATAAGAACTGTGCAGAGAGCAAAAGAAGAAGTGATAATAGGCAATCTGGTCCTATTTCTTAATCTGGAATTCTCTTTTATTTAATAGGTGACTTAATACAGTTCGATATGCATGTCTGACTTAAATTTCCAGATGTTTATAGAAAGTAGACAAGAAAGTGAAACTGATTTATTTTCACCCTGATTTAACAGCTAAAAAATGAGAAGGCTATAAAATTGAATGGAGAACAGAAGGGCAGCAGGTGGTACAGAGATTACAGCACACTAACCAGTTGCTGCTGCAATAATTCATGTACAATTCTCAAACGGAAAAGGCCTAATGACAACGGCTAGAGAAATATCATATTTTTATTAAAAAACCCAAACATTTGATTCATACATGTACAGTAAGGGAAGAGCTGCCTTTAATTTGCCAGACAAGCAATGGTGCCATGACTTGGGAGATTTAATGCCAGGAATCACTCAGGACGACAAGATTTTCCTTCTCAAGCAAATACATGTATCATTTTTTTCCAATGTAACAATGTGTACTTCTGTTTCACCTTGGTATGGAGATTTTCAGCATACCACCAAGTGATGTTTTAATCAAAGACAGCTTGGGCTCCGAGTACTGAAAAACTAAATGCAAAAGTCAACTCATTTCTGGGAAAACTTTCTTGCGCCAGATCTATTCACTGACCAATTATAAACAGGTGTCTCTGGGTTGCAGTGCAGAGTTTGGCTTTTGCAGATGCAGCAAAATTACAATAAGCTTTGAGATCACACGTCCAATACATCAATTCACTGATACCTCCCTAGAGAATCTGCCAACTATATGGCTTACCTCTAAGGAGCGTGGCAGCTGTTCCTTTGTACAATCCCCTGAAAAGACCTGACTCCCTGTAGATCTGTTTGGCACAGTCTAGGGGCCCTGCAAACTTGGCCTTTTCGGCCGACGCAGCTTGAATCTGAGAGCAAAGTTGTAGTCCAGTATTAAAGCCCATAATAGAACTTTCTTCTGTTTACAAACAGTGACCACCACTGTTTTTTTTCACTTGGGATTTAAGTACACTTTTCAAATTGTTCTCTTGCTTTTGTGCTGATGGCCAGGCACACATGTAATTTTTTTGCCCACTTGTAGGCAATGAAAGAAAGGTGTGTCCATGGGAGTGAGTGACCTGTTCCTACAAGTTACCTACAATGTATGTGACCCAAGAACATTGGGCCATCCAATTAGCCCGGCTGTAGTAGCTAACTCAACTTCTCTTACCCAAGTCAATCTGTGTGAGCTACTCAAACATGCCCGATAATTAGAATCCAAATGACAATGGACGGACTTGGAACAGTCTACCCATCTCCAATGGTACGTGTACTTGTATGTCATTGTTTATGTACATTAAACTACAGAGAGGCGGCATGCATCAACCAAGGCAAGAGCTTATGCCCACCAGCGTTGCAGGTCCCTAGGATTCCAGTTGATTTTGACAGCTTCCATGTCAAATTACTCAAGTCAGGGCGTCACAGGGACACAAAAATGCCACACTTTTGGATCCCCACTTCATGAAATGTCCAAACTGCAATTGCTAAAACTATTCCTCTGTCCTCTTCATCAACGGGCTGAGCTTTTTCTTTCTCACCTGCAGAAGACATTTGATGCGCTCGCCTGGGGCCATGATGGCTGTAGTGAATACCCCAGCAAGCATTCCTGCCTTGAAAAGCTGATCATATCTATTAGGAAGGAAGAAAAAGCTTGTCAATGTCATTTTAAATAGCCAAACAAATCAAGGCAGAGTTGACAACTCCACACATGCTAAGCAAGGACAAATTGCACGCCTTGTTCACAGACAAAATGAGAGCTCAGTTATGCACCAATGGGGTCTATAAATTTCTGCATCAGTTTGATCAATTAGACCAAATGTCACATGACTTCATAAGAAACATTGTGCAAGTTAGATGGATGATTCTGGTTGATCACAGGTTGACTAACATCATTCAAAAGACATGTAGTTGGTTCATCCAATTGACCATTAAAAACCAGACCCATACAGGGGCATACGTGTAGTAGCATCACCCTATGTAAAGAACATGGCCAAATCATTAAACATTGTATGAAACATGTATGAGAAGGTAGATACGTGGGCTGAGTTCGGGTGGCTTGTTCTTGTATGTTCATGAACAGTTTGATTCGTTGTTCATGGGTCAGCCGTTTGAATGTAGGGAATTACAACCGGTTATCGCTGGTTAACTGGTAAGTAACATGGCAGTGTCCATGCACGTTCTTCTAGGGTTAATGTTTTGATAATCGGGCTGAATTCTTTTCCATTTCAAAAGGAACATTCATTTATGGAAAAATATTAATGTTAATTTTGCAAACCTTGCCCTTACCTCCGGCTTCATAAGCCATCTCGCTATTTTTTGCAGCTGTTCAAAAATAAAAAGGTCAAGAGTTTTTCCGTTTGTCCATGTTAAACCGTGACGAGGTGGCGTGTGATCCTGTTCCGAGAACAGTGTTCTTGAATCACCCTCCTGCCGTTTGAGCGCGAGAAAAAAATGCTCGAGACACCGGTACAAGCTGCACAGCCATTCAAACTCATGGCGTTAAAGATTCTGGTACCAGTCTACAACTTAAATAGCACCTTAAACAAATCGCTCCTCATCCTTTTTGTCTTTTAGTTATAAACTGACCAAATCTCTCCATTATACTGGCCTGGTAGTTTTAAATTTAAAATAGGTTTCTGCGGGGAGTAACAGTTCTGGTACTGTACATAAACATGTGGTCTTCCAGAGCCGGAGGTCCTCATTTTTTTTCTTACTCTAGACAAGTATGGCTAATCATAATAGCCACATCCATGAACTCGGCTCCCTGGACAAGTTGTTTTGTGAACCCAAAAGACGACAAGACGGAGCCCAACTCAGCATGACTGCTTTTGAAGAGCTACATTTAGTGTGACGCAACAAGAGGTTGCACTTATTAAGAACTGCAAATGAAACCGAGGTAATGATTCCTTGCACCTGCACACACCCACCTATAATTGCCATCTGCTCCTGGAGTCTGAAGCTTCTTACCGATACTGAAGCCAAGGAAACACACTGCATACATGGGAGTCACTCCCAAGATGGGTGCAAACATCCCCTTGTACAGACCACGAAATCCCTACGGAAGAGATAATCACATCGAGTACTTCACAAACTGCATTAACGTGAGGGAGTTTAGTTTTGGGTGATCGCAGTTCTGGAGGGCTTTCAGTTTTTGTTTAACTCTGATTAGACCTATAAAAAATTTAATAAATCCATTCAAAGAGTTTGGGAGATGTTAAAGTACACTTTAAAAAGTTGAAAACCATATGAAAACAGTTTTAGGCCAGTTGACCTAGAGTGGTACAAAGGCCAACAAAAGTAAATCAGCTCATGGCACATGTACGTTGTACGTTTACACTGCACAAGCAAACTAATTCGCTGGACTGTAACATCCTGTAAAACTTTTAGTTCCTTTTTAGGGCCGAGTCAATTCGAACAATTCACTTTCCGAATATTCGACCTGCGATTTGATCGAATATCCGAATATTCAGCCCTACCGACCTGCAGATTGTTAATGAACAAACCATACAAAAAATCAGTGGCAATAACACACACAAAATAATTTTGTATATTATGATCAATATGTAAGCTTCTCACATCTAGGAGTATCTCCAACCAAGATTTAGCAAGATGTAAGAGATGAACAAGACTTCTGCCCTGTTGAAAATGTCTATTCCTTTCAAATTGTTTAATGAATAGTTTACTTTTTGAATCGTTGTAAGATTTCTGACGCTTATCATTTGAATCTGCTTGAAACAAGCCTCCACAGTGCAATTTTTCTCATTTAAAAAAGCAAATTTTTCCTTCCTTTTCTTCTCTTCATGAATTTTGCATTTGAATATTCGAAAAATAGTATTCGAATATTAGACAATCGATCAAATCTTTGGTTATTCGGATATTCGGCGCAGCCCTATTCTTTTTCTGACAGTTACATGTACATGTATATCTGGACATATTTCCATTTTCAGGTAACAGATTTAGTTCCTATTGTTCCAAAAACATTTGTACATTTGCCTGTTATGTTTTTAAAATCTGTACCAGGGAAAAAATTGTCCAGAGTGGCACTTGCACAGCTGGAATAAACAATTGTTGTCATTAATGGAAGAGCATGAAAGCAAAGGACATCAGCCTTATCACCAACAACATGTGGGTGATTTTGCACAATGGTGCATGTAGAAAGGCATTGTGGGAAGGAAAAAAAGACAAGTTTAATCCTTTTTCCATCCCACAGTGCCTTTCTAACATTGTGCAAAATTAGCCATGCAGCATTAGTGATAACTTCTCCAATACAAACCTCTTTTGTGACGGTTTTTTTGGCACAGTCCCATGTTCCTGCATAAATTGGGGCAGCCCCTGGGGCTGGGGTGGGTTGGGTCTGAAGCCTGACCTTAAATTAGAAACATAAAAGAAACTTCATTAAACCTTTAGCACAGTATCCTATTTTACATCACGTTTTAATAAAATACAAGATTTCAGTACTAACATTAGGCCTGGCTCTTAAGAAAATGTCCACAACTTTTCCAAGTTTTGAAGTTTTTACTTTTTTAGGCCCTAGTTAGATTAACGGTTGGTAGGCCTAGGCTACATGTACATGTATGCTCGTCGCTCACTTCCATGACTTTTGCTCCATAGGGTAGGCCTTAAGCTATGTACATGTAAGCTTAGGGCCTACATTCATCATCAAACATCAGCAAAAAATGGGCATGGCATGCATGTTTTCTAGGCCAAATTACTATTTGCGATAATCCTCCAGGTCCATGCCGGGAAACTTGAAGACACAGAAATAAGCGGGAGATGACCAATGCAATGAAGACGAAAAACAGAGCGAATACTGCCAGACCGCTTGATTGACAATGATTGATCATGATATTAATGATTGACACTGAAATTAATGGCTAAATGTTGAGCATTTAGGCCCTAGCGGTTAGTAACGTGTTTTTACTTTGATTGTATCGAGTGGATGGCCGGCTGCAACGAGACACACTCCTCCAAAGCCGCCGGCTATGAAGTTCTTCACCGGACTTATTTCTGCAGACATCCTAATACTACGTGTAGGTTGAAGTTGAATTTAATCTGAATGAAAATTTTAAGTCAGAACTCCGAGTAATTTTCGCAGCATCATTCACCCAGTCACCTCGCACCGGTCGCATGCGGTGTGGCCTTTCGACCTGTACCTGGGGCTGTGACTTTTACACTACATTGTACTCGTACCCATTGCCTTATCAGGTAACTACTAATATGTTTTCAGAAGAAACCGTAAGGCATTCTGGGTACCATTCCGAACTCGCCGCGTACGGTGGCACCATCGCTGAAAAAAGTCTATCCAATGAAACTCTAGAAAAAAATGGAGAACACCAAGGCTCTGATTCAGCTGTGGCTAGACTGGCTCCCAGTCAGACTTTTTGAGGAAACGACTGCTGTGGCACGCACAAGCTGAATGTGCAACTACATGTACATGTACATTGTACATGTACGTACGTCTGAACGGCACTGGGAACGAGCAGCTGGGTTTCCTGAGGCAGGCGACTGGTGGACTTTTACGAGAAAGAGGTTGATGGACATGTTATGTCACATTGTACGAAAGATGCCAGAAGCGGGAATTGTGAATTTGGGAACCCAAGTTTTTGTACTTTTAATTTGTGCAAAACTGGTCATCCCCCAGAAAAACCAAAGGCAACGCTGTCTGAGCTGCCCTGACTCTGTTTGGGGGAAATTTCAAATTGTAAATTGTGAGAAAATGTGACTTTCCTAGAGATAACCTAGCCATGTAAATTCGACTCTACCCAGCATAGCGCGTAGCCCAGGTTCTTCAAGTTCATTTCATTACGACTGACGTCCAGGGTAAAAAAAAGTTGTGTACAAAACGACCACAAATTTGATTCTAATCTGTTCTTGGTTTACCTCGTTGAAGAAACTAGTTTTTCACCTTTGCAAGTTCTTCATGGCCTTTTGTATCCGTCAGGGGGTTTAGGAATTTCAGAACGAACCACTGACTGAAAAATCGAGGAATATAAGTTAGAGACAACGTTATACTTTTGTAGACATTCATGTAATTCATCCGTTCTCGAGTTGTAAAGAGCACGCACGTACAGGAATCCGGGCTGCATGCACGCACTATGCGTGCGCGATTTCCAGTGAAAGTACATGTATGTTGCACACCTGCTACACAGAGGCCATAACTGGTACCCGGCTTTAACCCGCCTGTCGGCATAAAACTTTGAAATGCAGTTCCGTTGTCGGATCGGGGGCGAGTGCAGACTGACCAATTCTGTAACCCCCTTTTGATTACCCCTAAAATGTTCATATTTTGTTCTACTTAATATGTCGGTTTAGAAACATAAATTTGCGACAAAACCTGCTATTTTATAAGAATAACCCCTGTTAGCGTAGAAGGCTTTGTATATGCAGGGTTTTGGTATGGGAAGACGTTCATCAACGATCTCTCATTGAAGCATGCTAATAACTTGAATTTGTCGGGGTAGTTTTATTGGTTAAAGATGTATAAATACACAACATTGCAGAGATCTGATATTTATTAAAATGAAACATTAACTTATCTTGATAACTGAGGAATAAAAAGGAGGATTATATTGCTGGCATGATTATTGCGATGAACAGGCAAGACTGATTGGGAACACGATACAGCCTAGAGGCGTGCGCGCGCACCGTGAGTTAAATAGCAATCACGCACAAATCGTGCTGTTGATCGGCCTTTCCTTTTTTATTCGTGAACTAAACATGCAATAACAGATAGACGGACAGACAGCTAGACTGTGTCGAAGTTTTAAAAAATCTCCTAATTCATAATCATACGGTTGGGGTGGGGGTGGGGTGGGGAAATGCTCTCTTAAAACCCTTAGCCTCAAGTAGGCCTACATCAAACAGCTGGAAACTCAAATTCATGTGTACTGTATAGTTGTTTGGAGACCTCAGTAAACATACTAGTGTCTTGCAATATTCTTGTAAATGTTTTTCACCAGTGAAGAAATGTTGCCGAACAGTTTTGTCAGTGGGTTTTGAAATTCATTGGCTTGGGAGGTTAACGTTTATGGTCATACTGGAGCTCTGTCTGATCATCGGTCGATGGATCCCCAACAATGTGCAATTTCAAAATATTCAAAACTCTCAAAAAGAGGTGATTTTCGTTTTTAAATTCAGGCCCAAGAGATCATGATTACTCGCTGTTATTGACTTTCATATCAGTCTAGTTTGTAAAAAAAATTACTTATCTGTGTTTGTGCGTTTTGGAAAAGTTCTCCATCTCTAAAAAAAAATATAGTCGGTATAACTTTTAAAAGGGGACAAATCAACAGATATGAGTAAATTGCTAACAACAGAAATGTGCCAAACGGTAGGCTTGCTGCATAATACTCCCCTCGACACGGAACTGCCGGGAGTCCCTTAACTTCTATCGAATTGTGTGGGCACTTTTTGTCAGTCTACCTGTTAACACATAGATGTATAACACATGCTTTAAAAATGGTCAGGATTTGAAAAAATCAGGAATTTTAGCTTTCCCGTACTGGCCGTAGGACTCAGCTTGCGTGCAGGTATAACTCGGCCAACTGTCACCAACGTCACGCCACAGCCTCGCCTCCGGCCCGATGTTTTTAACTCGGCATGGAGATCAATGGTGGCTGAAAACCACGTTGCGCGTTACGAAACTTCACGTTCGCTGGTTCCATTCAGAACATGTACAGTAGTTTCATGTGCGTGTACGCAGCTCGGAATCTCGTACGCCGAATAGTTGCGCGCGCGCACACTGTACGAACTGCACTGCACTGGAGAACGGCTGAAAATAGTCCACCACCGTATGGCAATTATGCGTTAGTCCGACTTTATTTTCCCGTTTTTGTCTTTGTTGGTGATGTGTCGAATTTCTTAACCCACCAGCTGTGGAGATAAGGACGCATAGGAATTACAGACGTGAAATTGGCTCCTTGGATAAGGTGTTGAAAATTTCATTTACAAAATTTGTCGCCCGATTTTGCACCCTTAAGTTAAGGCTTAATATCTTAGACTCCCTCTGTAAAGCAGTACGGTCATGGAGTCCACCTGGTCTCTACTCCGTCTCGTACCATGTGTCGTGTTGAAACACCCACAGTTTCCCCTCAAAATGTCCCTAAAAATTCAAAACCCTGCCCTCTTTCAAAAATCAGCCATACAGTTAGTGAGCATGATGTCACGGTCATCTACCTGGGGGAATCCAAAAGTTGAAACGTATAGGTCTCCCTTCTGTTATAGGAACAGGGTCCCCAAATTCACAATCCCCCTGTAGTTTGTTGCTTTTCGGCGAACCATGCACGCGTAAGTGCGACGTGCAACGTCAGCAATGATAAGTGGCCGGCTGGATGCACGCGATGCGTGATGTGTCCTCTGGATGGTTTGCGGACACAGTAGAAGTTTAATCATGTAATAGTTGCTCTCTACTCAGCCCCAGCACGGAGGAATGGATTGAGTATGTGACTCGCAGGGACCGCGTTTCCAACATTTTCTTTTAGGCTTCCAGTCCATAATTTTCTTAGTCGTAAATGTTGTTAAATTTACCCACTATTTTCATGATGTCTGGAGAAGTAGGCCTAAATCATGTTGTAAGTCCCGTTAAAAGCTTCATAGCCGGCGGCTTGAGTGGAATGAGCGTAATTGCAATTGGCCATCCATTCGATACGATCAAGGTAGGCTACCCCCAGATCTGTGGTGTTCGACGTCCGCTCCTCTCTCGTGGGAGAGGAGCGGACGCCGAACCCCTCAGTTCTGGGGGTATATGGTGTGCCTCTTCATGAGGTTCATTACTCCAGTCATGGAGCTATGGTGGGGTTCGTCGTCCGAGTCCACCGCACTCAGAGATTTCAAATGATTTCAATGCTGCAAATTTTCAAGTGAATTTCAGGTCAGGCTTCAGACCCAGCCCACCCCGGTCCAAGGTGCTGCCCCACTTTACCGAGGAGCATGGGACTGTGCCAAGAAAACTGTCACAAAAGAGGTACATGTAGATAGGCATATCAGGCCATAAGAAGGAATATCCTGGATTTCTGCCAACTGCCCGCATTTTCCAAAAAGTTTTTATTTCAGAAAAATTGTTGGTTTTCCCTTGGGAATGGTTAGAAAACATAAAAAATGGCTGCAGTGCAAAGTAAATCGGAAGTTCGTAGTGTGCCTGTGTACAAATGTGTGGTATGTACACCAAAAAAAAAAAAATGAAAAAAAAAGCCTCGTCATGGGTTTTCCAAATTGTCTGGATGAAAATCCGGGATGTTCATTCTCATGGCCATAGCAACATCAACTTTTATGGGAGAAGATTCAGAAATTACCTGAGGAATATATTCTTTGCTTTCCTGAGTTAAATGAACCATTCTGTTTACTCCAACTGCATGTCCAGTCTTGACATACACGTATTATTACCCTGAGGAATTTCAAGTTTAAAAAGAAATAAATGTGCACAAGTCTGTGTAACTTCATAAATTTTGAAATGAACACATCTTATGGGAGGGCTGTAGTTCATCCGCTTGTGATTCCCCTTGGAAAAGTGTACACCCGTGTGCCCCCGAAATTGTCACCATAGTTTAAAGCACTGTATGCCGTGGTACTAGACTCGATGAGGGCAGCCTGCAAAGTACAATTGTCACCAAATTCATGATACTAGTAGCTTTCATCTCAAAGTCATACACGTCATTTCTCATGTGAACAAATTTCTTGAATATTTTTATATCAGTATGGTCACTTATGGAAACCTTTACCATGTTTACAGAAAATGAAATCCCCGAAGCGAAATCCTGGCAGACTTAATCCGTTCCCCAAAACAGTCTCCCCCCCAAATTTTTGCCGATGAGTCAAATGGTTTGGTTTTTTCTTTTTCCCAGGGATTTCATGGTCTCTACAAGGGCATGGTTACCCCCATGCTGGGAGTGACCCCAATGAATGCTATTTTCTTCTCTGGCTTTAGTATTGGCAAGAAGCTTCAGACTCCAGGAGCAGATGGGAAATATGGGTGAGTGTGCACGGTGTGCAGGTGCAAAGAAATCAGCACCTTGGTGGATCTTGGAACTTCTTCCAACCCATAAACTGTTGTTGCTCCATGTTGCTTCAAATGCATATTAACTTCCCCATGTAGTAAGAAAAAGGGAAGAAAAAATAAGTTGCATACAAAACAAATATCAAATTTGAAACTGGCCGAGTGAAGAAAAGAGAAACTTGTAATCTGTGCTAAGAGCAAAACAAGCTCTCTTGGGAATTTGAAGCTGAAGACAATATTTGGCAGCTAGAATTAGAGGCCAGTCCAGTGGTGGCGCAACACTTGGGACAGGTGGCTCTCTGCGGTACATGCCTCTCCGACCAACAGGGTGCTGTGACGTGAAAAGCTTGAGTATGCTCGTGTGAATGCAGTGCTACACCCCATTTACTGTGTCTGTAACGGTTGTTTTATAGGTATGATCAGATATTCAAAGCAGGAATGCTTGCCGGTGTATTTACCACAGTCATTGTTACCCCGGGAGAGCGCATTAAATGCCTTCTGCAGGTGAGACAATGTTCTGGTTCTTGATCGAAAGATGATGTCGCAGGGAAGAAGTCTGGTTTTGCCAGGAACGTGCTCTGGAGGCAAGAGCAACACATGTAAATGAAAGAAGCGGCTAGCCAGTAGATAAAGCTTTTGCAAGCACCTAAGTTACACCCAGGAACAGCCATGGCATTGTACACAGCCCAAGAGTGCACCACAGGAAACAATTTAACACTGACACCAGTGATCTTCATTGTCATATGTGAAGGGCTGCCTGGTTGTACAGAGAACATCTCTGTTTATTAAATCAATTGATATTTTCCACTGACTTAAATAAGATGTGTGTGATGTAGTCAGACAAAAATGGGTCTTTTGTTAGGAGACAAATTTTCTAAAATGTAACTTCCGTATTTAGACTTCCTTAACTTTTGTACCAACAATAATATTGATATGTGGTTTTTCTCTGCTTTGAAGTTGATACTGTGTTCATGAGTGATAACCATAAATTAGCTAGGGCCGACAAGAGACTTATTTTGCTTGACCACATCACATGAGACCATTGGTATGTGCTCTGTGCATGATCGACTGAGGGCACCCATCACATCTAAAATCAACTTCCTTTTTGGGTACTGGTGGTTGATGCATGCTGTTCTTTGTTTTGCAATGTATTGATGCCAGGGGAGGCAGCTGGACTGTCCGTGGTCCTTCTATTGACATGGTTGCTCCCAATAATGCTGGAAACCAGGCAGTCATCTCAGACTTCCTCTGACTCACTCAAACATGTAGAATAGCTGCAGCCGTTTGATTGCTAACTGCTTTCAGATTCAAGCTGCGTCGACCGAGAAGGCCAAGTACGCAGGACCCCTAGACTGTGGCAAGCAGATCTACAGGGAGTCAGGTCTCTTCAGGGGATTGTACAAAGGGACGGCCATTACGCTCATTCGAGGTGAGTGGAATGTACAAGCAGCTGCATGCAAATCTGTGGAAGTGTTTTGCCAGAAATCATTGGACTGCTACGTGAACATTTTGTATTGAAAATCTAGTGAAACTCCTGTTTGCATCCAAAAAAGTCTCATTGCTAGAACATGCCCAGTACTTCTACAGTAGATGGAAAAGATGATTGCTGTAAAAGGAAATTCTTGCATTTGTAATCTTAATTATTGTAGTGAGAGCAATGGTATGAGTCTAACAAAGAGAACCCTTTTCTAGCCATATGGAGTAGTTGTCATAGCATTAAAACATGTGACTAGATCTGACGAAATGGGTCTTTAGGCCAGTTTTCTGGTCATGAGCCCCGAGCTGGACCAAGAGAGGGTGAAATTTTTCCAGCAATGGAGGCTCCTTTGGTCGGAACTGCACTTGCTGGTTCACAAACGACTATGAAATGCACTTGTCATTGCCAGAAAAATGAACACTGCCCACCAACATGGCTCTTTTCAACTGATGAGGGGGTGCTTCTGCTCAAGGGGGATTAAAAATTGAACCAAGCTCTTCCTTTTGATGTACATTTACCACTCATCCTGTCATCCTAATGAAAATTAATGAACACGTACATTGTGAAAAGATTCTTTGCAAGGCCCTTAAGTAAAAAATGGGTTTTGGTGACTGTCACCCTTGTGACACCATCACCCAAATCGCCACTTGTCCCTTCCCTGTTCTCCATCTGTGTTTTTTTTTTTTTTTGCACAGACGTACCTACTTCTGGCTTGTATTTCTTGGTATACGAATGGGTCAAAGTTTCACTCACGCCAGCGGGTAAAAGGTATGTCATCCGAACCACTCTGTGCTGCTTTTACGGATCACAAATTTGGCCCATTGCATTTTTCACAAGAAAATTTCTTACTTGCTTTTATTACGTGTTGCACAAGATTACCGTGGCATGCACCCTGTAATGCTCTGAATTTCGTAGAAAGTTCCAACTGTAGGCATTAGGATGTTCTAATAGTTTTAAAATGGCTGACTATGTGACCCTTGGGGCATTATTGTACGGAACCATCCTGAATTTTTCCCAAATCCTATACTAGGCGGAACTGAATTGGGGCATGTTTGTAGAGTGTAGGGTTATCTAGCTCATTCCTTCAAGAAGCTTTCTAAACGTTGCCGAATTTGAAGTACGATGTATCTTGGAGGGCCAGGGTTATTAGACTCACTAATCCATGCTGAGGACATGAATTAGTTTGTGGTAAAACTGTATTGAAACACTGGATTTCAGCGGTGCATCTCTCAGAATCAACGCTTAATTCAGTAAAAGTTGAAAACTGATATTCCTTCTTGGCCCAGTTTCAGTAATAAATAGATGTTACTTTGACAGGATTCAGTCTTACATGTAGTAATAAAGGATGTTGATTTGAGACTATTGTACTCATGTCCCCTTCATTTATGGTCACATCCAATGCACAATGAGTGAGAAACACCTGTTTCTTTCTCCTCTAGATTTGTGCAAAAGTATGTCACATATAAGTGCTTTAATAGAGCTGTTTTATTTCAGCCCCGAGGACTTGAACCCATTGCGCATACTTTTTGCTGGTGGCATGGCTGGAGTTATTATGTGGTTAGCCATTATCGCACCGGACAATCTGAAGTCCAGAATACAGACAGGTAATCATACAGAGAAACAGTTTTCGCATGTGTTCATGTATTTGGAGGGGCCCCTCGTTTGGCCAACAGTGGGCTTCAGCAAATCTATCTGAAAGATTATGGGATGGCTTGTGAGCTCATGAAAATGTGAAAGTAACACCTGGTTCCTTCTCCAATAAAATAATTGACATGCTGGAGACATTGGTTCTTTTTTTGATCGTAACATGTCTAAACTTAAATACCACTTACAGTGTAGATGAGAGGGTACCAACATTGACAAGAGGATCTGAAAGATGATGGAGTCAGCCTCCTTGGGTTGAGTTGTTGTGAATGGGGATTTTGGCGTAGCGATGCTGTGCTCCACTATTTTTTCCTCTTTAGGCATCTGCAGATATGGGAGCCCAACATGCATTTGATAAATTCTGTAGAGGAAATAACGTGAAAGGAATTGCATGTGTCGATCGTCCATTTTTTTATTTCTCACAAACCAGCCCCCGAAGGAACGTATCCTCGAGACGTCCGTGACGTATTCCCAAGGCTAATCAAGAATGAGGGATTCCCTGCACTGTTCAAGGGTATCACGCCCGTCATGATTAGGGCATTCCCAGCTAGTGCGGTGAGCTAAATCAGAGAGTGGGAACGAAGGAATGAGAAGAAAGCACCCTCATACACACAACAAAAACCGAAGAAACAAACACAAATTATGACGATTCAAACAAAGACAGCAAAGATCTCATTTGCCAGTGCTTTTGAAGATATCATTTTTTCTTTTGAATTCCCATTTCTAGAGCCTAGGAAGTCTGATGAAAATACATCTAATCAACATTAATAAAGCTTGTGCTTTCTTACACCCCTATTTTTCAACATTTTGACAAATCAAAATGTGCCGTAGTTGTCTGTACATTTTCTTGTTTTTCCTGTTCTACAGGTTTGTCTCCTCACCTATGAACTTGCAATGAAGTTCCTCATCTGGTCGGCTTCCACTTTCTAATGGCGTCACTGCCATGGTAATAAGTAATGAACATGATACATTACTGTTCACATGTGTGAATAATCTAGGACATGCTTGTATGATGCACCAGATCATATACGATGCACGTGCTCGAATTCACTTTCTATGACACATCTTGAAGGTTTTTAGTGGTGCTTTAGACAGATTTTCGACTCATGGAATTTCTAAATTGGGACAATTCATTTGTCTTTCATGGCATCAATGGAAAAACAACAATACTAAGGGCACTGATATATTCACTGCCGCGAGTAGTCTTTGTCTTTTGCCAGACCCCTTGAAGCGGCGACCCCTTGAAGGGGCGACCCCTTGAAGGGGCGACCCCTTGAAGGGGCAACCCCTTTGATATTTAATCTAACAAGTGGTTCAGAGCACATATTTACACACCCTGGTTAAATACTCCTCTTCAGCAGGAATTTGTAAATTTGTCACAATGTAAAGTAGCATGAATTACAGGTATAAACTTTTCTGTGTTGCAGACGACCTTCATCAGGAATTGCATCCCTTAGGCTGAGAAGACGAAAGGAAGAACAAAGTCAGATGCTGGAGAACTTAGGAGAACTGGAGACAGAATACAGGAGGTATTCATGAGTTCAGAATCGGACTGTTAAAAAGCTGTTGATTGTTGACTGTAATCACAGAATATAGATGTGCAGCAGAACTTTGCAAAGCGGTTGATTTCATGCCATGCCGTGATTTCGATTCCCTTGGAATTGGAGATGGAACACGGTCATTGATCAAGAGGTAATGCCTCCCTGCACGTTATCTGATCCAGTGGACTTTGTTCTATTTCTTTTATCGTAAGTTGCTCATGTCTCAGTATTATAAGAAAAGAAGAGTTCTTTTTTGTTTATTTATTATTTATTGGGTGGAGAACTGTAAATGTTCCAATGAAGTGGAAATTTCTCATTTACTGGCAAATTAAGTAGTGCTGGTTGCTAACGTGCAAATACAAGATTGTATTCCATTTTTAAGCTGAATGAATTTTATACAGAGAACTTTTCTTGGGGTTAACTGTAGGTAGCGCCTGAAAGTAATAAACATGACTGCAGATTTTATTGTCTGGCCTCCGGACCAAAAGACCCTGACTGTTTAGAGAGATCTGTAGGATCAGGTAGCCACCACTTTATGAAAAGTTTATCTCATTGCTTTGATATCCCTGTACTGTTGTGAATATCTACTAATTTGGTCGTGTGTAAATTGGTACTCCTGGATTTCCTCATTTGAGTTGCAGTTTGGAAAAAAGCTCCCCATTTTTTCTTGGTATTCTTTCACATATTGATCTCCACTTTTTCACAAGTGTGATTTACGTTGACTGTTGAAACATGGACGGGGGCTTTCACCTCAAAATAGGAAAGGTCAACCCAGTCTTTCCCAGCGATTAAGTCGTACTCTGTTTTCATGGGTGATGGAGACCTGCTGTCATAATTATGGTTGATAAGGCAAGGAATTAACCAGATTTTAGAGTGCAAGTTGATTCACTTGGGCCAACCATATTGTGTGGAAAATGTAGTGTAGGTTTGCTGTTGGTGATGACATTGTTTTTACGCAATCTTCAGTGCTCAAAACATATAATATTTTTTAGAGAAACTTATTTTTTTACACAAATATAGTTTTCTCTCAGGTTTTAGGACTGAATTCACTAGGGCCAACCATTTTGGTGAAATGCTAATGCCTTTTGCCGTGGTTGAGTGCTATACGTCTATATATTTCTTACACTGTATTTTAAATTATCCGTCAACTATGTAATTTCATATCAGCCAGGGCTATGGATGCAATTTTGCAATTATAATGATATGTCTGCGTCTACATGTATGTTAAATCTTTCATTTCAAAGGATGTGGAGTGTTCCAGAATAAATCTTTTGTGGTCAAAATTTTGTCAGCGTGCTGATGAACTCCTGTACCCAGGTTGCATTTGGATGACTGCATTGATGCACTTCATCCCGCATCACTTGGTTTCAGCTCCTCAGTGGCCTCTCCAGTCACTGTCAGATGCTTGGGGGATAGAAATGCATACAGGGCAACATGGAGATTGCGAATCACCCCATGTCATGAGGAACCGTGCTGGGCATTGCCATTGGGGAGGACCATATGAAGAGTGGCCTTCATTAAGGCCTACAATTTGGCTGATGAGAGGTGTCCTCGAGACACTGTGCTTTGTGACTATTAAGAGGGAAGGACACCGGGGTTTAATCAGTTGGGATGCTGCAGGCATTTGGTTGTGATGAGGATGATTACGACTCGAAATGTGATGAAGAAAACTAAATGCGGGTGAATAAGAATATATTTCATTTGATGCCTTGCCTAACTTTTTCATTGTAAAAACTCAAAAAATATCAAGCTTCAAAGCAGTATTTGGAGTGAAGTTTAAATCTGCAAGACTGAATACAAGAGCAATGAAGCGGGAGAGACGGCATCATTGGACAATGACAACATGGAAGAGTGCCGCAGTGACGTCATATTCATCACTGTATCACTTCGGTCAAGTCCCTTGCATACAAAAGGCCTGGGCCCCGGGACGAGGTGGGGTTTTAACATAAATTACACCATGAACCATGTCAGAGATGTGGTAGGATAAAGTAGGCCTACCTTTTCATATTGGTAGTTGTGCATTAAATATCATGCCATTGTTTGTTCCAATCACGGAAGGACAAGCTCATTCCTCCATATTTTGATGCAAAGCATGGCTCCAAAAATGTATCAGGAAAAAAGTAGCAATTCAATTCCTCAGTAAACGTGAATTCTGTTCCAAGGTCACAGGAAATAATACGTCTTCAACCTGTAGGTGATGTGGGGATTTATTCAGGTTGGCATTTTAGTGCTGCATGGATTATTCAGAATTTATTCAGGCGCACAAAACAGTGTTTCATTTTCGTGCAATAAGTTTTGTTCATTGACAGATAAAACGTTCCATTCCATCTGCCACCCCACAAAACTGTACCTACCTCTGCTCTCATTTTGTGCACTCATGGAGATTAATAGAAGATTATGGAAAGCGTGTGCATGTTGGGGTGAAACTACTTCACATGACAGTGAAAGCTCGGCTTTCTGGGTGAACAGGATTTATAAACAGCCACAGAAGAAATAAGGAATCACAAGCACCAGTGGTGGGGCAGCTCCATAGTGGATGTCCCCCCCACCCACTCCATACATTCTGAATGCTCACGGCCAAGCAATTTTTGAATTCTCCCTGCCATTCAATAGGAAGCTCAGATTCAAGCCACTGAGAGCTTTAGTTTCCCTGGAAATGTTAAGTTGCAAAAGTGGTCAATGAATCATTCTCTAATCACCATAGCAACACATCAGATTTTTCATTGCATAATTTTAGCTCAAATCAGCTCAAACCAAAAACTCACTTAAAAATCTGTAGTCACATTTATTACTGTTAAGCATCATTTCGGTGTTTAAAATACAATTTCAATTCACTAAGCACATACACTATATGAAATACAATAATGCAGTTAGATAATGGAATAGGACAATTTGCACCTGCAACAGGTGAATCCCCGTAACATGAGAGAAACCTTCCGCTCCCTTGGAATGTTCATGAGTTTTCCACACAACACAAGCCAAACACTGAATATCAGAATGCTTCTACTTAATACTTCAGACACTTGTGGAAAGTAGATACAAAAGAAAGAGCCCAAGGAAAGATACACGGAAGTGGTGCGTTGCAAAAACAGTTGGCTCTTACAAATTCATCACATTATCACCTGTCACTCCGTGACCTTTTAACAGATAGACAGCTCTATTCAAAGTACCCACAGCATAATACTGCTGACAAGAATATAATATATAATCAGTGCTCTGAAATATGTATGTATTTCAGAGCACTGATTATATATTATATTCTTGTCAACATTCTGATCACGGTGCTACGTAGCCCTTCCATATTTTTCTGGCATAATACAGTTGAACAGCTTTGGGCTGACAAGTACAGAACAAGTATGTAACATAATGTCATTAGATGTTAAATTTTTTGGTTAGGATTGTGATTTATTTGCGAATAATTTCTCATTTGACATTTTGAGAAGAATGTAAACCTGGCCAAAGATACACGAAAAAGAGGGATTATTGGTTGTTTTCATTTGCAAGGAAAGGACTTGGGTGTACATGTACAAATGACATTTCAAACACCTTTCACAGCTTTTCGTTGACTATAATTTACATTTTCTGCTTGGTGGGAAGTTGCTGCGGCAGGTAAATTGTGTGATGAAATTGACAAAAACAAAGGCACTGAACAACATCCAAGTTTCACAGATTATGATAAGGTAATAAATACTCTATGGTACTGTGACAAGATTAGGGTAAAAATATTTTAAAATGTAAATAGAAATTAAAAATCGCTAAATAATGTTATTAAATAGATGCTATCAATACGTATAAATGATAGCTATTTGTGCCACGCAAGAAAGAATTATTCCAGAGTCCATGATTTTAAAAATTACATTTGTGTTGCGAATTTAAAAAGGTCCGTAATTGTATTTAAGCAGATTTTGATAATTGATAAATGAACATGACTATCTGTAGTTTTAGTGAAGGTGTGATTTTGTGGCAAATGAAGAGCAATATGTACTCTTAAATAAGACAGTCAAAAACAGAACACTGAACATGACTAAAATGGCTAATAAAATTGTTTTAATGCAGGGCCGAATTATGCAAAACATGTTCATTTTTTATCCTCTGTGGCAAAATCCCTGAAATGTAACTGTCATTCATGATCACTCTGAAATGGTTAGAAGTTGTAGAAGAAGCAACAGTCTTGATAGACAGAGGTTACCAGCTTGTCAATGTTAACAAAATTGATGAACAAGGTGATCCCTCTTCGATTGGAAGCTTTGATAAAAATCTTGGCCCGGAACAAAGCAAATTGATTTTATAGGTTCTTAAAAGCCACTCACAAATTCTCCTGTAGCAGTTCAAGTGCTGTAAAAGGCAAGGTTTGATCGGCAACTTTTCAGTTCAGTTCTAGAACCTTGACTGTCTCCTGTATTCCATCTCTAGTTCTCTTAAATTCTCCTCCAGCATCCGGACTTCGTCCGCTCTCTGCATCTCCCTGGCCTGACGGATGTAATTCCTGATGATGTTCATCTGTTGCACCATGGGATTGTCCGAAGATGCCATCAGCTCCGCCTCGCTCATGGCCGATGGCTTCCAACCACCCTCCAATGTCCTGGCCCCGCCCCCCGTGCTGCTCTTGGTTGGGGAGGTGTCCTGCTTGCTCTTGTTTAGGTTTAGATTCAGGTTCAGCGGCCAGCTGGGGATGCGGACGTGGCCCTTCTTGGTGTTCTCCAGCGCCCTCTGTTCCCTCCTCTCCTGGCTGAGGCGTTCCTGTCGCTGGGCCTCCAGCTCGGCCTCCTTCTCCTCCTGGATGCGGCGGGCGATGGCAGCCCTCCGCTCCTGCTGCAGTTTCTGCAGCTCCTCCTTCGTGGGCAAGGTGACCATGGTGTGCATGTTGGCTTGAAGGAAGAGGGTGCAGTGGGTGCGGATCTTCTGGTACAATCTCTGCTGGGTGGAGCTGGAGGTGGATGTAGCTAAGCCCAATATTTTCTTGCTAAAATTTATGGGGGAGAAATTATATTTTAACAGAAATTATATAGTAAACATATAAATATTTGCAAAGTTCGGAAGACTTGATAAAAGAGAGATGGGTTCCACAGCAACAGCAGCACTGCAAAAGCACTGGTTTTCAACTCACCTAATCGTGTCACTAAGATCAAAGTTCTGCAATATTTTGGTACGTTCTCTCTCCAGCACATCCCGACTGAGACCGGAGCTTCCAGACCTGAACAAAGAAACGAACCAAAGCAGGTGCAATCAAAGTTCCTTCCCTGAACAGATTTCACATTTTACTCTCTGACAAGATTAGTTGACTCTTGAAACTGGTGTGAAGCTGAATGGAGCCAGCATGGAACTTGTCTTGCTTGGTTTTTTCCAGTTTATCTATCCCCATAAAATCTTTCATTCCCAAACATATCTTAACCCTGCATGAAGCAAGGAGTTTGAAGACAGTTTCTAAAGAAAAGAGCAATCACTAGACCATCAAACAATTAACAAAGCAGACAAACTGGTTAAGCTTTACTTGTCACTTCATCTTTTAATCTTAGACTGAAGGTTTGGAAGGCAAACCCTCATTGAACACTTACAGCAGTGATTCAACCTTTGGATTGTACACTGACAGCTGTGCAATGATGTGGTTTTCCATCTCACTCAGCCTCTAAAAAGAAGACAAGAAAATTTCCAGTTGATGACAATTACACACAAGAAAAATAAGATACCGCCTAACCGAACAGAAATACAACTAAAGGTCACAGGTTAGAGGTCAGTAATATTTCATTAAAACCAATACATTACAAAACATAGGCAAGTTCAGCACTAACTATGCTTGTTAGCCAATCTCCTTTTAGTAATCTGCAGGGGCAACACAATTCCTCACAAACAACCCTAGTTGGACTCTTTTGAACTCTCAATGACACAATGACACTCTCTGCTTTCAAGGTTGCTGCAATTTTCATGTCACTGGTTCCCCATATACTTTACTACCAACAAGGATATTGACAAATGAACTGTGTACCAGGGTTTGATTCCCAACAGTTGACTAGGCTAGTTAAGGTTAGCAAAACTAAACTACAGCTAACTATAACTGGTACTTGAACATGCCCCGTGCTGACAAAAGCTCAAATTCTTTACCTCGTATAGTAATACAATGGTAGGTTTGATGACCTTCTGCCTGACCGCCTGTAGTCTCATTATCAGCAGTTGATCACAGTGTTTACAGACTCTCAGTGTCCCACTCATGTCTTCGTCTTCTCTCCCATCTGCTCCCTCATCTTTCCTTGCCTGCTGCCGTTGGTAGTCCCTCAGTATTTCCTCCTCCGATTTCAGCAAGTTTTCTGGAGGTAAGAAAGCCTCATTAAACTCCAGGAGTCATTTTAAAAAGAGAAAACTTGTGCTACCAATGGATGTGTGTCCTCCAGTAAGGTATTTTGTTGTAACTCGCAACGGAGTACATCACCAAGCACCTGCCCCAAGCAGGGTCCAATTTTGTGGATTCCATACTAGATTCTGAGCTTTGGGCCAGCACTAGAAAAAAGTCTGCACGTGGTCTCTGAGAACACAAACCTACAGGATCCATGCAGGTGCTTAAGCCAAGCCAAAGAGCTAAGCTGCAGAGTGGTAATTAATGGTAAGCTTCTTCACTGGCAGTAAGCAGAGCCTCGAAATTCTGCTCTTGAAGTGGCCCGTTTTCTATAAAACTCAATGTCTCCCCCGTATGATTCCATTCCATCAGTGGCATTTCTTAGGGAATCAGTGAACTCACATTCACTTTATGACATTCAAACCACCAAACCTCCTAGATACTCCAACCAAAACAGACTCTATCTCACCACAAACTGTGTTGGGCATGAAATCCGAACATTTTGAGCAGGCAATGTTGCCACACAGACGACAGTGGTGACGTCTCAGGGACAGACCAAATCGCTCCAGGCAGAATGGACAAAACTTCACAGAGGAGTCTTCCTTCCAAGGCACGACGGTCTTCTCAAAGGCTAACGAGAGGAAAGCATTAAAACAGAATTTTTCAATATGGATCAACCTGCATACCAACAGAATTTCAGAGCGCCCCTTTGTGATTATTAGGTTTGACAAATGAACAATTATTTGTAGCCACTGAGCTGTAAATCCAGTTGAGTCCTCCGGGACTCAGACGTGATTACTTGTTTCATCATAACAAGCTCCCCATCAGTGCTCCAAACACCATGCTCATCAGGCAGCTCCAGTTTAGGCACGAGTTAGCCATTCACTAAACCAAAAAGTATCTTAGTCCAGTGCGGTAAAATTTGGTCAGAGTTTAGATAGATTAATTAATTAATTAGTTAAGCCCACTGGTTGGAATTTAGATGAGATTAAAATGTTTAATTAGTTAAGCCCATTACAAAAACCATTGATAGCACGGTACACTTTTTCAAGAAGTATGAGAAAAAGTTAACACTGTTATTCAAAGTTTACACAGGCCTAAAATTGAAACACGCAGAGAAACTAGAACAAAGAAATGAGTTTGAAGTTGTCCTTCAAAAGGTCACCACAGCATTTGTATCCGCAACTGTGAATGTGTGAGGAAAATGTTCTTGTATGTTTCAAACATGTAAAAAAAATCTCTATTTAAACAAACACATGTAGAAAGCACAGCCAATGATTTGATGTTAGGGGATATTTGGTGAGCTGGCAGGCACCTAGGACTCCAATGAACTCAGGTAGGGGGAAATCAGTGGCGTCAATACGGGCAGGCATGATTTGAAATAAACAACCAATGTACACGCACATGTTGTGGTTCATCGGCTAGTGGAGTCTTTTCGCAGGCTGTAATGCATGAGTTCTCTCACAAATGGCTATGAATTTTGCACTTTTTTGTACAAAAGTAGCGGCATCTAGCCCTCCAAAAATACACAAATTTGGAGTCAAAAACCCTAAAAAGTTACATTCCTGGGCACCACACCCATGGGTACTACACAGCCTTGTAAGTGCTCATGAGATGCCGATTGGAGTTGGTGAGGTTGGTTGGGTTTGGAGGGGGTTGACCAATATACAGAGGCATTTTGAAGGCTGAATTGACTTCTATACCGATGACACCACACATTGTTTAGGTGTGTGCATTCCTATATCGTACTCTGTGGCCACGGGCCCCCACTGACTCCATCAAATAATGCACAAGTAAAAAAAGAGTGACGTCATCAGTAGAGAGACCGGGCCTATAATGTGAGGCATTCTAGTAGGCAGAACTTTTGAAGGGGGCACACGGGTATTGTCCAAACTTCCATCACATCAATCTCATAATAGAAATGAAACAAAAGTACACAAAAGAAAATATAACTCTTCTGCGTCAGCGCTGTTAGATGGTGAGTGATTAAGCAATATTTGGTAAGAGCCTCTGTACATTTTTTTTTTGGAAGTGAGAGACTATTCTTAGTAGGATTTATGCATGTATTTTATAACTGGTCATTGTGAACTGTTAAAGATGAACCAAAGCTTCATGAATGAACAGATCATAGCTAACCTGCATCCTGCTAACTGTAAGAAATACATGTACTTTGAAAAACAAATCTGAAAGGACATAAGAGATTCATTTGAAAAGGCCATGGAGTGAAATGTGTATATTTGTAAGCGTGACAAAGACAAAGAAAGAATCATTAGAGTTGTTACAAGTCCTTTACTTGGTTTGAAATCTTTTCGTGAATTCTGAAGGCACAAAAAATACCCTGAATTCAAATTATGCTATCTTTTAAAGTGAGACATACTGGAAAAGGATTGGGAAAAACTTCTGAGGTTGTGTTTGAAATGGAGACTGTCTGGGGAGTCCTCAAGTTATGGGAAGGGCTTGTAACAATCCAAAAAATTCCTTCAACAGGATACACATTTTGGCCATACCTTTTCTTGCCCGTTTACCTTTACGCTTGGCTGGATCGGCACACTCGGCGTTGAACTTGACCAGTTTCTCAAGGCGTATGAGTAGTTTGTTTGTCTCCACGGTGTTACGGTCAATGTGCGACCCTCGCTGACCCCTGAAGTACTGATAATGGCCTCGCATGGCTCCTGTGGCAATGTCAAATTGATAGAAAGAGAAATTCATAGCTGTAACAGCACAGTCACCTTACTTAACACCGTAGAAAACCTACAATATCACAGTCACCTTGCTTAACATTGTAGAAAACCTACAATATCACAGTCACCTTACTTAACACTGTGGAAAACCTACAATATCACAGTCACCTTACTTAACACCATAGAAAACCTACAATATCACAGTCACCTTACTTTAATAACACTGTAGAAAACCTACAATATCTAGAAGTGTGGTCCTCAAGTTGATCACAAACATATTCACAGGCTTTTATATGTTACGTCCCAACTTTGTCCACTGCCCCAACTTTGACAAGTGCCTACTTGGGGCAGGCCCAACTTCGTTATCGCTGGTTACTCAAATCACTGGTTACTCCAAACAATCACCCATAAAAAGCAGCAAGAAATGACATGGTTTCTTGTATTATTAATGTCGTACATTCCACCGATTTTGCTCTCTTCGCTCATGCTCTTTTCTGAATAAGTACTCGGTCCAGCTTTGCGCAGTACCTTGTTGTGGAGACAAGTGCTTATCTGCCCTACCTATTTCCTGTGGAGCCCACTGTGTATCATCGATGCCGCTGACGCTTGACGTCTGCGTCACTGACCCGGTGTTTCTGTCTCCCTCATCTTCCTCAACCTGCGTAACCTCCGCAGCAGGCTCCCCAGTCTTCCCTAGGAACCTCTTGGCTTTGCCTTTGAAAGGAATAAAACAAGTGACGGGACTTCAGAAAACTCAACAAAAACTCTTTCAAAAAAAAATGACAACACGTTTGTGTTCTTATATTTTCTGAATGGGACATCTGCAGGATGAAACATGAAGTCCTGCAACTAGACACTAGTGTTGTTCGTGACAAGCCTTATTTTCAGTACATAATCAGTCCGTGTTGTGATGGTTCAGTGTAGCTGTACCATCACACGGTCAAGTAATGTATTGGTACCAGGCATCTTGCAGACAACTCTGTGATACCGGTACATTTCCCACAATCATTTGGTAAAACACAGCCTTCTCATTTCTGTGAACTCACAGCTAATATGTCAATGAGCCAGGTATCATTCAGAGTCAACTGACCAAGGGCGTACAGAGTGTGGAATTATGTTTGGATGTAAGAAATTTTCTGACTACATGTACTTACAGGCACTTTGTCAAAACAAAAGTGGATGTCACACTGTACATGCACATGTCAGTCCATCTAACATTTGACAGACAAAAACCTGATGATGCCAAAACACAAATAGACTTTCATTTCACCCTCTGCTTAAAGGTCACTCGCGCATGCAGCGGCATTTTGCCACTACAGTAAATGGAATCAAACGTTTACCGAAAAATCCCTTGAGATGGTGAAGCAGGGCTTTATCCTCACTGCTGTGGTTCTCTTCAAAGTGTACCTGCAGCTGGTAGACTGAGTTCAGATCCTGCATACAGATGGGACAGAGGAACCCCTCCCGAATGGAGGTATCCTCCCCGCTCACGGATGCCGACATTACGGCCTGATGAATCCCAGCTGAGGTTTGGTCTCTTTATATCACAGCTGAAGGGAGATCAATCAAAAGTGATGCTGAAATGCAGAAATCTAGAAGTGGGGACAAGAGATGTTTTTCATGCTAATCCTACTGTACATGTATATGTACGCCGAGAACCTGTGAGCTCTAAAGACCCCCTAAACATTTCTAAGGTTCATGCTGACCCCAGACTGGTAGACCTGATCAGAAAACTCCCAAAGTACTGAATCAAAGGAAAAAGCATCTCCCCCCCCAAGCTATTTCCATGTACAGACAAAAGGAGGGTAAACAATTACGGGACACATCTGGAACACAAAATGCATAAGGAGGTCACTCAGGCTCAGAGAGACACAAAGGCCTAGACATTGTTGTGCATGAAATGTAACAAATTCCACTATCTTAGAATTGCAAGTACATGTAAGTGAAGCAGACCTGATAATGACATTACAAATTGGCAGTGAAATTTGAATCAGTACCTATTTGCTTTTGTTTTTGCCTTGCATGACAATTGAACATGTGCAGTGAGTTTTTGGGGGGCACTGGAAATTGTTTTTAAAATCAACTCTTTGTCTAGTTCCAACAGTTGTTCATGCTTACGTTGTCCAGGTTTTTGTTAAGTTGTATTCACAAGAGGGAATTTAGACCCAGCGAGTAGGGCATTTTTGGACTTTGTTTCCTTTTAAAAATCTTCCAGCGCCACAGATTAGGAAAGAAGAGTGAGATTCATGTATCCAGCAATTTAACTTGGCATTTGATGTTAAACATAGAAAAAGAAGATATTGGGACTTTTTAGGGAGCCTGAAACCATGTTCTCTCAAGATCAATTCAATTATTATTGGGCCACAGTAAAGAAATTACATTGTATAGGTTTAGTGCCATCCAGCTGTTTATGTTGTTTAACAAAAAATAATGCATTATGACTGGATGTCTGCAAAACATACGGTCAACGGTGCGTGTGATTGGTTAACGTGTGACAACTCGATCTTTACCTATCTTACATGTACAAGATCGATTGATAGCCTATATTGCAGTGTTTTGCACAATTTGTTGATACAATGTAACTCTACCATCAGTATGATCAGTAAGTTGCCTTTTCCTTTTCACGATTATGAAAGATTGTGCCCAACATACAAATTTAAACATGATAAACTCTGACACATGATCTAGGTATGTCCAAACAACTCCGTGGTCCAAAGTAGTGCAATTTATATCAATCTATTATCATGGAGGTACAGTTGTCAGTAGGAACCCTGTGGTTGCATCTCATTATCTAGCAGGTATTGTAGGCCTACAGTCAGTAACAATCCATGTATGATTGACAAAAGGCCAAGCCTAACCTCCCCTAACATGCCCAAGCCATAGTCAAGGGCATGAAGGGTGCAAAGTAAATTAAATTGAAATTGGAGGGCTGAAAACTTCTGTTTTACTCGCATGGCTTGTCTTGTTAGCAAGATTACACGGATGATTAAAACACGAGCAACCGGCTTTACCATGCTTGCAAATCACAAGGGACAACCCCACCCCTATCTCCAACTCTTGACTAGACTGGCCAGGGAATTTTCGTAACCACAATTGAGCCCTAAGTGAAGCTGTGGTATCCAATGTAAATGATCTGTTAGTGTTACTCACGAAGGACTGATGTGGGATCAAGTGGATAAAATAAGCCAGAAAGATCCCATTCATTCCAAGTTTTCAAATGAAACTCCGTCCTCCAGCGCGAGTGGTAGGTCGCAAGCGCAGCCTTCCTCCCATTTTTCGACATCGCACGACAAAGAGAGCGCCACCAAGAGATAACTTACACTACAGGAACGCCTGTCAAAATGGTGTAACTGTAATAGATTTTGCGCCACATTTGAAGGTTCATTACAAATGTCGACGTGGAATTTGTTTAATCTTTCGAAGTCGTTTGCAATGACTGTGGAAAAGACCATATATAACATGTCCTAATTTTTGCCCCATGCAATTTTTGAGAAGGTGTTAGAGACTGACCGTGACTGGCCTTTTAAGGTAATTGTAATGAGGCTTTGTAAAGTTTGTTTATTAAACTGCACGCTAGCGCCTCTAGTGTGGCACGGACTCATGGAGCGGGAGTGAGAGTCCGTGCCACACTAGTGGGGCTAACTGCTCGCCAGCTTTGGGAGAGTTCAATGCATTCTATTCCTTGGACCTTGCTCCATACGGACGCCAGTATTAGCCGTCGGAAAGCAAAATCTTGTCCAGAAAGTTCAATTTAGGCGGGCAAATACCAAATCGTTTACTGAGCATGCTGAGAAAACACTTTTTTTCCAGATAGGGTTTAGCCTGTGCACAGGGTGTCAAGTGGTGTCTGTATGGGGAAGCACAGACATCCAGGAGCTTCATAAAATTGTGGGCAGCAAGTTCTTACAACCACACCGCACTGATGAAAACAATTGCAACAAGTGCGCGCGTACGCACTGACTAATCAAAGAAAAGATTGTGTATTAAACCCGATCCTCGGACTGGCTGGTGCGTGTGTACGTTGTCGTTGCCATGGTTGCTGTTTTCACTGGCGCAGTGCCAGCCATTTTGTGAGAATCCCAGATGTTTACGACTACGCTGTCCCATAATTATGGACCAATGTAAGCAACTCATTACTCTCACTAACGCTTGTAAGTATTCACAGCAAGATGAATTATCATGCCTGGAGCGTTCACTAATGAGATCATCCCACAATTCAATTCCTGTATCAGGGCATCCGTATGGATTCAATTCCAACAAATGACCTCTGTAGCCTTCCCCATGCCATCCAGTCATGCCAGTGGATGCATCATGTGAAAAATGCTGCTCCATTATCCGCCCCGAGCTAAAGTGCGCCATCTTTCCAACTGTTTTATCAGCATACGTTTATCATTCCACTCTAGCCCCAGACAGACAGGCCAGATTTGAATTGGGCCAGCATAATTGAGTGCATGTACATGTTCAGTACTTACATGTACATGTACATCCTTGACAAGCATGTCAAGTAAACAGAGGTACATGTAGTCCTGTAGACTGGTCCTACTCTAGGGCTACCGCAGTTCCACTCCTGCCTTTTCTGAATTGTTGTTAGTTTTTTATCAAGTTTTTGTCTTAGTAACATAGGGACTTTCTATGTAAAACTTTGTCTTCTGAATATGCCTCAGAGCTCCATGTTATTTCCCCTTTTTTCATTTGTATCTTGATTAGATCTAGGCCTTATTAAGGAAAGAGTTCCACAAATATGGATGCTACATGACACCCTGTGCACAAACCCTATGGGACTGGTCTGAAAAATTCTGTTTTCTAAGTAAACAACTTGGTTTTTCCCTCCTAAATTCAACTTTCTGGATGTATTTTTGCTACAGCAAATACATGTAGATGTACATGTACATGTACATGTAGGTCATACATGTATATATATAGTATATATAGAACTCTTCCCCTAAGTATACCTGATTATTCTTGTATTTTGTCAAAATTGTTTATTTGTGTTCAGTGACCTGTCATCCTACCTGTAAATTCAACAAATACCACTTTGCAATATGGTAATAAATGTTGAGCTAAATCATTTATTATTTAAAAGTTTTGTTCTAAAATTTATCTGGCAGCAAAGTAATCACAGTGACGCTGCATGTACATGTACATCATGCGTGCCTCAATAACTCATCGATCTGCTACAGTACATGTTATCATAATTTGCACGCTTAGTATATGTACTTAGATCAAAACTTGTTTTTAAGTAAACTACATTTACATGTAAAATATGGCTTCACTTTCACTAAGGTTTTGACTTAAATCCTAGATGGAATAATATTTTGTGGAACACCACTCATCACCACAGCGATGTGAAAGCTATCATTTGCAGTCAAGTTAGATTAGCTAAAATAAAGCTCACCTCACCATAATTGGCATACTTACTTCAAATGTCATTTGCCCTACTTGTGAAAAATCTGCCAGTTGATGTCTTTTGAATTAGGAACAATTTTTCGTATTAATTACATTGGTTTTGTGAAGCAGTTCAAGAAAAAAGCACTTTTATTTACTGTACCTTGACATCCCACCACTTCTTCTTTCTCATTCTCTCACATGTATTTTTTTTCAATTCAGTTTCAAGTTACAATGAGATATATATTTAAATTGATGCCCTTTAAAAAAAAATCATAATTGGACTTGATTCAAGTAATTGAAGTGGGTAGTCTGAAAAAACTTACATGTATGTCTCTACAGTGTATGTGTTTTCCTTGAAAGAAAGTAACAAAAAGCAGCATCGAGATCCATGCCGATCAGCACTAGAAATCTCAAAATACGTGTACATATGAACAAGGGGCACACTTTTTTCTGGGCCCGTATTTTTGATTATGCCCTCAATAGTTAGCAAAAGTTGAATAGTATCAGATATCCAGCATGAAGGAGTGCAAGGTCATCATTTATCCGTTTGCTAAGCAATTTAAACCAGTTCTTTTTACATACTGTAGGTGCACTTTACGCTCTGCTGATATTTTTCCAAATACTCAATGGAAAAGCTTTCAATTCATACATAACTGCAAAAAGAAAAAACAACAGTGTGACGATCAGTCATCAGCTGTGTAGAAAGTATGTAATTTCCCCTTGGACCTAAGGGTTCGGCGGCTCCTGGTTCTGCCTTTCCAAGAGGAGGGTGAGCATGGAGCCCCATAATCTATTGGTAGAAGAGTATACCAGTACATTTCTTTAAGTTCTTTCAATTCACTAGTGAGGGTAATTTGCTTGACCTGTGTTCACTCCACAGATCCTGTCGTAGGATGAATGGCCATATCATCCCAGACACGCCAATTGTGGTGGATCTCTGGAGGAGAGCTGACACTCCATCCTCAAAACTTTACTTCCTATCTCACATGCACTCTGATCATACTCAGGGTCTCTCAGCCTCTTGGCGATGGCCAATTCATTGCTCACCCCTCTCTGCCAAACTGCTGATTGATAAGTTCCAAATCAGCGAGTGCCTTATCAGGCCTCTGGAACTTAATCAAAGTCATATTTTACCGCTGGATTATGTGGGGAGGGAGTCAATGACAGTGACCCTGTTTGACGCTAATCACTGCCCCGGCTCTGTCATGTTTCTGTTTGAGGGCTACTTTGGCCGTGTCCTCTACACAGGCGACTTCCGTTACGATTTGACGACCTTCCCTGAGTCCTGCCTGGGTCCCGGGCAGCCTGTGGATAAGTTGTACCTGGACAACACCTTCAACCATCCACGGTACAGGTTTCCAAGCCGGGCAGAGTGCACAGAGAAGATCCTGGAGATCCTTGCCAGGCATCCAGAGCACGAGGTTGTCCTTGGAGTCTACACATTGGGGAAAGAGGAGCTTCTTGTGGACATTGCACTTGCCCTGAAAACCCGTGTGGTGGTTAGTCCAGCACGTCTGAGAGCGCTCCAAGTGCTGGAATTACTCGATGTCTTTACAACAGACAAGGACTGTGGACATGTGAGACTGGTACCACGGAGAGCGATCAGCAAGAAAAACATGGCCAAGTGGAACAGGGAAGCCCCAACCATTGCTATCATTCCAACCGGGCTGTTCTCATCACTAGACGGACAACCATTTATCAGTCAGGAGGACGTCTTCATCGTCCCATACTCAGATCACTCCTCCTATCTTGAACTCAGGCAGTTTGTCGCAAGAGTCTGCCCACGTGTCATCATCCCCATTGTCAAGGATTCCTGCTTCATGAGCAGTGATCGCTGTGTTACAGACATGCACAACTTTGACGATCTCTTGGACAGGTCTCCTAGTGCACCCATCACCATCCCACCTTCAGTGCTGCAGTTCATGTCCACTGATCTCTCGAGATCAGTCCATCATAGTGAGTCACAGAAGAACTTTCAAATGATCGTTGAAATGAGGAAGACTCAAAAATTGATGAGAAACAATCATACAGCTCTCGGAGTGGTTTTCGAAGATGACGATAACCAAGAGCAACCACAGGCTGGCAGTGAATCCAGTCACACTAATGGACAAAATACCAATAGTTTTCAGCTCACCAAGAGAACTAACCCCACCAGAGAGCTCACGGAAACAAAGGCACCTCTGACAGAGGTGCCATGTGAAATGGAAACAATGCAAAGTGAACCTTCCCCTCAGCAGTTCTCAGAAAATCAAGGAAGTCACATGTGTGAAGGGTTAGCCTCAAGGAAGAAAGATTTTTTGCCTGGGAAGTCCAAAAGGAAATTTGACGGAAGTCGTGCATCTGGACGCTCAAAAAGTCCAAGTGCTGACTTCGCTTTGATCAGAAGTATGTCGAGCAAAAAACCAAGAACCCTACCTGAATCATTTGTAATAACTCCAAAAGTGGTTGTAAATGCATTTCCTGGTGGAGAACGTAGACGACTTGCCAGTCCAAACTCATCTACAAAAGAGATTCAAGACTACTTCAAGCTGTTGAACACTGCTGCCCCTCAAAGTTGTACTAAACAAATGAATCTCAAACCAGATGCATGTAATACATGCGCAAGAGTGGCCTCCCCTCAAGCTGTCCCTCCAGTCTCAGACACCAAACCTGCAGGTGGTTTCATCACCGCCAGTCGTGCACACCAGCCAGAGGACAAGGCTGTAAATGTCACCGACAGTTCATTTTCAGTTGGTGCTCCCAACCAAAGGATAGTTGACCAGAGAGACAAGCGAAACAGTGAGACAGATGAGGTGTACAGAGCAGCAGAGATGCTACAAATTGCAAGAACAGGCTCTGTTGAGGACAAGGGTGGAAGTCTGCCTCCCAAAAGTTCTCGCTCCACTGATCCCAGTCGTTGCTCAGACCACATACCTTTTGGATATATTTGTGTCAAGCCACTGAATCAACTGTCTAGAAGTCAAAAAGGTGACAGCCTCAGGAAAGCATTTCAAGACGTCTTTTCCAATCAGCACTGAAATATGGCAGCTCGGGATTTGTTGGAGGCATCACCAACATGCAGCGTCAGCAACAGTCAGGTTCTTCAAATTTTGATGCAGGTAGAATTGCCCCCATTTCTTTAGAAAGTTGGTCATGTGTCACTCTTGCATACATTTATAGCACATTGATCAACAGCACATGTATAGTGAATGATCTTTAAGTGTCCTTGGGACAAAACAGATTGTATAATACCTTTTTTACGGTTACAATAAAGATCAGAATGGAAAAACAAAATGGAAAACTGTTCATGTACAGTGACGAAGGTGCACTGACAGGCACACATGTACATGTACCTGTTTTACATACCTGTACATGTACAAAGAGTAGACATTCCTTTACTCCTTTTCTCCAACTAGGATAACTCCTTCGAGCTGGATTTTCGATTATGACTCCCCGGACTGTTCCTTGTCATTTTGCCTCGACAACCTTGACCCCAAATTGCCTCTGAAACTGAGGAGGGGGGAAACATTGTGTGGACGTTTGCGAGTCCACACTACGCCATTGCACCCTACATTATGTGGACTTCTTTTGTGCAGAGGTCCACACTATGTATGCCACGCCTGCGCACATGTACAAGTAACCAGCATTAGATGGAAACAACCCAACTCTTGTCAAGACAGGTTTCTGATGTATTCTCTGCTTTCACATCAATGGATTATTGCCTAGTCTATTTAATCCTCAATCCATATATAGCTCTCCCTTTTTCAGGATTTTATTCATTTATATTGTACAAGTTCCTTAAATTTTCTATTAAAGAACCCACGTGGGTGGGGAAATATCTTGAAGTGTACACTTCATGGTTTTATGAAGTCAAAATTTCGTTTTCCTAATGTGTTTCAACTACATGTATTCGTAAGCACGGCTGCTTTTACAAAAAAAAAGTTCAAACCATGGTATCCAGCGAGTATTGAAGTGTGATGTCATTTGGACCGCAAAACGAATGGACTATACGGGCGGGCCTAATGCAGGGCTTATGTCAGATTTGCTAGAACGGAGGGTTATTAGTTGCATTATTCGAACGGGGTTGTTTTGGCACCAGTTGCGTATCCGGGACGGGGGGCAACTTGGGCCCCATCCCACCCCCGGCAGATTTTTTTTTACTTTTATTTTCATTGTAATATTTGTTAAGCGAATTTTTATCTTAAAAAATATTTATGAATCAAATATTAGCACCAAATCCCTAAGAAAACAACACCAGCAAATAAAACCAAGAATGTCGGGATCGTAAGGCTTTTGATATTTCTTCTCCCCCAACATCATGCTGAATGAGTCCGAGGCCGCATTGGCAGTTGAACCCCCCCCCAGCAGTTTCATTGTTCCCGAGCATCAAGGTATCAACGTCATTCGGGTCAATTGTTTTATTTGCCGCGTTGCAACGGTACCAGCGAAAAGGCAAAGGAGGATTCCGCGGCCACGCTCTCTCTCCCACCTATGCCGATCTCAAATAAATTTTAATCTTCAGGCACTCTGTATGAAGTTATATTTCCGTGAACTACACGTTTCAAGCTGTCAAATGAAACCAGTTTCGTTCTTGCTCTTAAAACGTTCATTGAAAGTAAAATTGGACTCATTTGGAATATAGCACCGGCAAGCCTCGGTCTAATCTGGTGAAACTTAAAACTGACCATTCTGTGATCAAACCGATGGTACTAGTTTATGGGACCATCAAGAGATTTACTCCTCAAATTTTCTGCACTCAGCCCGTCGTATACTTTTTTAAGAGGCGTTGTATCTTCAAGTAAAATCTCAATTTGCTTTACAGGTAAAGACTACACATATTTAAAAACCATCTTTGGGGAACAACTTCATTGCCACTGTTAGGCCTAAAATGCAAACAGCTCACTTCATGTTCATTCAAATCACAGGCCTCTTAACCTACTAAAAATTACTGGATTAGAGAGGAACGTGTGACCTTAGTACAGACACTAAGGTATAATCGCTGATTTACTAACGCGACGAAGATTTAGAAAAATAAAGAGGTGGAAAAATCCAATTTTTCTGTGTTCATGGAGACGAAACCGAGATTTTGTACAACCAAAATTGATGTAGGCCGTCGTTCACATAATAGTTCAGCGTATAGAACCATTATACGAATGAACACTTTGAATGCCGAGCGTACAAAATAGAAACGTCAACGAAAGAAGTGCATGGCCGAAGCGCCTCTGCAGATCATTTCAGTCGTCACGTTCCACGTCGGCATCAAGGACTTTAATTTGCCCGTCTGTCAGCAAAGTCTCTCACTTTTTCCCTGATGAGTTTTCGTGCCCAATCCAATCAAATTCATCAGTGGATCGCCACAGGGATATTTTGTGCCCAATTTACTTTTTACCCCGCGGAGGCTGAGAAGTATATCCTCTTGGTCTTTTGATGCAGTCATCAAATGTCAAGATTTGATTTCAACGTTACATGTGTATTACTGATAGTGGAGTACTACTGCTTGGCTTGGCTAGACATGGCTCGACAAGTCGTTTGTGTAAATGTCTGTACGTTTATTTTTATCGCTTTGACAGATGTGAAGTTCTTTATGTTGAACAGTCACAAATCAGAACCTTCATATTGATGCGTACTTTGACTTGTTCAGTCCCTTTACTTCGCCCTCTTGAGGTATCCAGTTAGTGCTTAGCGCATTACAGCTTTGTGGAATCACCACACCGGCCAGGGAGTTGAAAAACAAGGTTCTTTGAAAAAAATAATGAGCAAAGGGCCATTTTCTTTTGGGAGTGTGAAAGTTCCAAAATTATTTTAGCCTCACCTCAATTTAACCCCCCCCCTCTAAACCAAAAAATCAGGTCTGGAGTCGCCCCTGATTGACCACCTCTAAAACTCAGACAAATGATAAGGATAACGCCCAACGTGAATTCTCCAAAATATACGGCGCTGCGGTACAGAAGAATTTAAAGACCACAGGCATTTTTTTTTTCAAATTGTTATTCCCGACTCGCCGCGGCGATATATACAGAACCTTTATAATATCTTTCTTAATTTTGGCCCCTCTACGCTTCCGTATGTACTTGTGCGCACAGACTTGGAATTGTATCGTTCTTGACATGGACTTCTTGTTCTCGCGCTCGAAGGGCGGGAACACGACCCAAGAACACTGATCTCAGAGCAGGATCACACACCATCTCCTCGTCAGGATTTTACACGAACACACGGAAAAACTCGTAAGATTTGATTTTTGGACAGCCGCAAAAGTATCGATATAGCTTTACAAAGCCGAAGACAACAGAAAGTTTTGCAAAATTAACATTGATAATTTTCCATTACAGAAATGAATTTTTAAATGGAAAAGAAGTTAGCCTAGTTATCCAACATTAACTCTCGAAGAATGCACAAGGACGCTGCCATGTTGCATGTCGCTTGCCACAAATAATTACTAGCGCTAATAACTGGTTGTACATTCCCGGCGTTCGAGCGACCGACCCACGAACAACAAATCGAGCTGTTCGTGAACAAACGAGAACAAGCTGCCCGAACTCAGCCTTAGATATTAGGCAGTCTTCGCGTGCCCGACCATTTTTTATTGACTTTAGCTCCGCTTTTAACACCATTTTTCCATCCGAGCTTCATGTCGAGTTATTATCCATTGGCATTAATAGCTTTTTTTTTGCGAGGGAACATTTGACTTTCTTTCGAACAGATCCCAGCTAGTCAAGATTGGGCAGTTTGTTTCTAAGTCCATTACATGGAGTACTGGAACGCCATAAGGCTGTGTGATTTGTCCTTGTCTGTATTCACTGTTCACGGACCTAGGAAGGTACCCTCATTGTCAAATTGCCTAATTCAAATTCATGACAGTGAGAAGCACTTTCGGCAAGAAGTTGAGATTTTGGTGCATTATTGGTGTTCTGACAATGATCTCGTACTTAATCTCAGTAAAGCAAAGGAAATTAGATTTTCGGAAAAAGAAGTTCGATCAACGAGGTTGGAGTGGAGGTGTTCAAGTTTTGGGGTATCAACTTCAAGGAGGATTTACATTGGAACGCACATGTTTCTCACAAGGGTCAGCAACGGCTATGTTTTCTCAGGAGACTTAGGACGTTTCATCTTGACCCCGCCGTGATGGTGAGATTCTACCGGGCAGTGATCGAGAGCGTTTTGACGCTCTCCGTTACAGTCTGGTATGGGAACTTCTGGGTGGTAGATAGGAAACGCCTTCAGCAAGTGGTTAAAGTTGTGTCTAATATCAGGGGTTCAGCTGCCGTCTATTGAAAGCATCTGTGAGAAACGATTCGTGAAACGAGCGTCTGCCATAATGAAATACAATTCACATCCATGCGCACTGTCTCCCTAAATTGCATCTGTTGCCTTCAGGAAGAAGGCTTCGCTCACTCGGCGGCGCATCTAAATGCACTGTAAATTCTTTTTTCCGTCTAGCGTTGTCCTGGTGAACCAGGCTTCGTTTGGCAGTTATGGCAGATGTTTAAATCTCTGATTGCACAAAGCAGCAGACACCTTACACGTAGAGCTGTGCGTATGTTTGTTGATTAATTGTTTTATATGCGTATCTTTTAATCAGTAATATTATTACGTGTATTTTGTTTTTACTATTAATTTTTTTTAATGTTTGTCTTGTATGTTAATATTACATTATTATCTTTTAACTTAATGTTTTTACTCGTATGAGACCGGTTCTGTTGTAATTTTTGTATTTACATATAAATGCAGCAATAAATCAGTCAAAAAAGGTATTTTTTATTTTTATTTTAAATGACTCGAAAAAGGCACTTGCATGTCGAGAAGCTAAAACTATAAGAGCAACTTTTCCGAAGACAACTACTGTGTCGCAGCTGTATGCTTCCTCTCTTAATTGGCAAGTCTCGTCTTCAAAGTCTATAACTACAGACAAACGTGAACAACTCATTACCCGAACTAACCGTAAGCCTTCACAGATAACTTATTCAAGGACACCTCTCCAATTATGAGTTGGTTTCTGTCATAGCGCTGACATGACACGCAAGATGAGTTTTTGTGCCTGGAGCGTTCACCAATGACATTATCTTACAATCCGATTCCTATATCAGGGCAACATCACCATCTAGCTGCAGCGATGGTGGAACAAACAACACCGTGAGCCGTCACACACCTGCGGATCTGGGGTGTCCCCATATGGATTTGATTCCAAATAAGGACCTCTTTAGCCTTCCCTCCTGCCGTCAAGCGAATGCATCATGTGAACGATGCTGCTCCGTCATAAGCGTCTTCCAGGTTTTTTCAATAGGAATTTGTGCCAAAATCGAATTCCTATCAGGGAACATGCGAGAAATGGGCAAAGTAAGTGCGACTAAAGGAAGGGAAACTACGTTGTATGAGATGGTCTACAAGGTTCATCTAACATAATCAAATGGCTGTAACGTACTCGTGCTTGCGTCGATTGCGATAAAGAGTTTCCCCATGATTCCCAATAGTCGGAGACTTTTTGGCGTCGCTGTTTGAGTCTCTTAATTTTTTGCGAAAATACTCTGAGCAAACTTTAAGGGTCAACCCGCGTTGTTTTTGTTTGTTGCTGTTTTATAGACTGTCTGGGACGTACTGCGGGAATGTAGTTTTATTGACAGTCTTGAGATGAGAATAGTCTTCACGTCTCGTTGAAGAAAGCTTTCCCAGCTGAAATGTTAGATTTTCATTCCTGCCGAAAAAATCCTCCAGAGCCAGGGTTATCCGGTGCGTAAGTGATTTCGTCATGCAGACGCGCCACGATTTACAGCCTCCCATTGGACAATCGCTGAAGTTGCGCGTTAACTTCTGGTTCATGTAAACTGCGGTCAATGCATACAACTGTATGTGTAGTGCATGTGCAGTGGGCGTGGTTTAAACTGAAGTGACGTTACGAACCGGATAGCTTTCGCGTGTTTTGTTAAAAACAAAATAGCTGTCGGCCTGCATAATAACGTGGAGAATAATGCTTAGTAAGCCTCACGAGAGGCTCGCATTTCATGTTGATGGTATAAACTTAGGCTAAGCAGATATTTGGGGCATGCTGGTGAATTTATTTCTGCTACATTTTGCACAAAAAAGTTGGTTTTTAAACTCAGGGAAGCAGCTTGACATGAGACTACACTTGTCGAGAAGCGAGGCCACTTCGACACCACTGCCGGGCGACTTCGCAACCCAGCTTCGCTTTTAATTGTGAAAGACTACCTTCCGTGGACGCCCCTTGAGGTCACTATTGCGCAGGCGGTATGCGCTGCCGTACTCAGTCCCCAGGTCCACTGCGCATGCTCGACACAAAGTTTATAATAAAATGCCCAAGCGAGATCTGATAGGACCAGTCACGAAAAAAATCTTATTAGAGAGCGAAAAATTGAGCGAGTGGCCACTTTCGTCTTTTGAGGGTACACAATAGGCTGTATCATAGTTGTTCACATTTCGTAATGGTTTTACACTGCCGTGCAGTCAAATCGGTACTTCTTTGAACAACTAATTATACCGTTCGAACAGTCTAAAATGTCTGGAAACATCTCCTCTCTCAATGCTTTCCGTTTCAGAGTCTGCAACGACGCCATATGCGGACTTAAAGTTGCTACCATCTGTTCAATATCTACCTTGACCACTTTAGGCAACCTAATAACTCTCATTGTGATAGGCTCTACTGCCTCGCTGCGTAACTGCCATGGACTGCTGATCATGTCCTTATCTCTTGCTGATTTCTCTACCGGTCTGGTAGCATCACTGTCGATTTACCCCTCAGTATGTAGCTTCTGGCCCTTTGGCGATATTACGTGTCAGATTGCGGCAACCACGGAGGCAGTCGTCAAGAAAACTTCTCTGCTGACATTGACCCTACTGAGCATCGAGCGCTACATTGCCGTGGTGCATCCCCTAAAGTATAGCCGAATCATCACCAAGCAGAGAATAGCGGCTGGCCTAGCTCTCTGCTGGTTTGGTCCCATCGCGTTTTTCATTGCGCTGATTCTGACCGGTCAGTCGTCCGGTCAGTATGTCTTTCTGTTCCACTCCTGCACCATCACCTACCAAAGCCAGATACTGTCAATTGCTCTCAACGTCGGGTTGTTCATTCTGCCGAGCGTGGTCATCCTCTCTGTTACTACCGTCCTGGCCTGGTTGGGGATGAAGAAAGTCGCTCGTGTCAGAGCTCACATGATAGCTAAGCTCACTCCCCAAGCTGGCCAAACGCACCAAGCCGTCAAGTTTTTCCGCATGATCCGCATAATGGCATTCGCCTTCTACGCATGTTGGGCTCCTCATGTGGTCATCGGCTTTGCCTGCCTCCTGGCCGACGTCCGCCAACCCTGGGGCGTTTTTTTCGCTACCTACTGGCTTCATTTCTCCAACAGCTTTTGGAACGTCATCATCTACTCCGCAATGAATAAAGCATTCAGACGGCGCGCGGTAAGTCTTTTCATCTCACCGATGAGAGTCCGTCTCTGTAACAGCGGAGATGGCAGTGGCAACAGTTTATCAGCCACATCCAGGCAACCAAAAATTACCTCTGTAAGTGCTCCGTCGGAGGGCAGTTCTTAAGGGAAATTCACGAACACAGTATAGGCCACTTTTTATCGACGAAACAAACATGCATTCCAAATCAGTCTCAAGTGGAAAGATGGTCTACTTCAAAGTACCCGCCACCCCTGCACACCCGGTTTTTATATCTCGAAAACCTAAGCTGGGCTGTAAACAAGTTGTACCCTTGTCGAGCTTTGTTAATTGGAATCGCTGACAATTTAACGCCCTCTGATTTTTCCTCGACATGTTCCATCATTCTATTGAATTAGTTTAATTTCTGACACTATGAGAAATGACATTTTCCACCCATTGTAAAAGTAGACCCTGGTCAGGTCACTCTGGAATCATTTCCTGGTCGATTTTCTCTACCGGGCTATTTCATGACTGATTAAATGCTTAGTGTTTTAAGGCATTAGAATTAGTAAGTAGTAAGTGGAATTAAGTAGTAAACGTTTTGAAGTTACACGTATTCGCAATACGGGCGTTTCACAGTAGTGCGCCTCCAAAAGTTTGCGACGCGTTAGCCAATCACAATGCGCGAAATGGATGGCCCTATGTACGTCTGGAAAGGGTCGACAAATTTCGTGCCTTGTGATTGGCCAAAAAGTTGCAAACTCTTGGAGGCGCACTACTGTGAATCGCCCGTACGTATTTTCGTCCCGTTAGTGTTTCTGGAAAAAAGATATGGACGGAAGAATGGAAAAGCACTTTGAATTTAAAGGCTTTCGAATCGCTGCACAAGCTTTGCTTTGATAAGGCCCCTGTTTGCTTCAGTTAGTACATGAACGGATAGCAAAGGGGACAAGATAACATTCAACATTAAAAAATCCCTTCAGCTTGTGCATTGGTGTTTAATCAATGCGAACCTTAAATAATCTATTATTATAACTGCTGTTAGGCTGATCAAAATTGATTACTTGATTATCTTCAACCCCCGCCCCGATTTCCCTACCCGATTTTTTGATGTTTGGTATTTTGACTTCGAAAACAAAAATTCAAGCCTTCCAAACTTTGCAGACTTCTTTGCGCTGCAAATAATGGTTTGTGTCCTGCGCTTTCTATACCTACATCGGTTGCTCGCTGGTCCTTCGTGACGTATGCTGCCGTGCCTTTAGCGTGAACCGTGTCTGATCTCTGCGTACCCCTAGACATTTTCCCCGATGGCATGCATCACATTGCCAAATGTCGAACCCTCCCCCACCGAAAAATAGACTTTAAGTGATGGTAAACAAGCAACAGTCTAATTTGTTTATAGCTCACGGTTCTTTGCCACGATGTATACTTCTTTCATTACACGACTTACCTGATTGTAGTACTGTAACCGACTGGTGTAAATACTTTGTATGGGTCGCAAGTAATTTACTTGGAAGAGTTTGTGGTTTTGCCGTCACGCTTCTACACTGTAAAGTTATTCCTGCAGCATTTTCCCAGCTGTACAGGTGTCTTTAATATAAATGTACCGTAAAGGGCCCCAGTAAATTTCCGACATGCTGTTTAATAAACAGCAAATTGCTAGATACTGTTGGTTTGACACTAATCAACTGTAAACGTAAGAGTAATCTGCCACGGTTAATTCACATATTAAATAAATATCACAGTAAATAACCATTTTCATTAATTACAGGTATCGTGACTTTCTCCAGGCCTCCAAATGTAACGGATAAAGCAATTAATATGATTAATCCCAGTACGCCCTCCTTCTCCTTATACCTTGGGGATCCAGATATCCGTCTTATCACCGCCAACTTTCATTAACGTACCTCAAAATTTTATATACAGTGTATTTACATTAGTTTAACCGAAAGCGTAAATTTAAACAGCAAGTGTATCAAGAATCAGCATTATTTCCATATTGTTCACTTCCAAACAACTTGACGGACATGCCTACTAGGTCTATTAACTGTTTAAAGGTACTCGTATGCGAAAACTGGAATTTCGAAATGGATGTTATGACATTTTACGTGCAGTTTCACTATACGAATCTGAAAATCATGCTGTTTTTCTACAGTAATCTGATTTTTCCTGAGGTCTCACAATGTCACCTTACTGATTAGGGTAAAGTTATCGTGTATTAACAAGCACATTTGTTCACTGTGAAATCACGGTCGATTCATTCTGTTGTAATACCAAACTATATTTAACCGTAATATTTACCATGAGTGTATCCAAATTCACTAAATATTTAAAAATTTTGGTGTCCTCAGTAGACCCCGATGATGTTCAGATCTGGTCCAAATTTTTGGCTTATTTTTCGTCTAGTAACTTTTTTGTTTGCACATTGTATACTCATTATTGTCATGTTCAGTTACCTTTGGTGAAATTACAACGTGAAAATTTGTGCCCGTCAGAAACGAAAACTTGTTGATTGCAAATAACTTTGTTGTCTACTCTCAATGTTGTTGACGATGACTTGTTATAGACCTTCAGGTTCAAGATGTCAAAGGTAAAATTTGAAGTTGATGAACTTATGGATTGTGTTTATTTGCGTAAAATCCACAGCTGTTATATAAGATTATAAATCACCCATAAAAAGTTGACTTAGGTGTTTAACTGAGGCTTAATGTTTCACAAGCTTGTGTTTTTGTGGATATCTTTGCATCCGTGCATAATTGTTTGTTTCATTTCTGAAGGTTCGCTGATTGCATACCGGTAAATAGAAACAATTAAATAATGAAATGTAGGTCTAATTAATTGACAATGCTGCCCGTCAAAACTGACCAAGTTTCCTCGCTTCCACATAAAATCGATTTATTGGTTCTTGCGATGAGGGCTGTACGATGGTTTTGAGATTTTGGGTCTCTGTCGGCTTCGGCAAGATTAAACACCCCACCCCCATTAAGCCAAAGTAAAATCAAAGCATGCACAAGAAGATGAGAAAAAAACTGCAACAGTTTTTTTTTTAATCGAACATATTTTTCAAAGCTTGAACTATCTTTAAACCTGTACTATTGTATTTACTTATTTCATGTACATGTATGATATGTTTGAAATAGAGTGATGGTGTCTGCAAATGTGCGACGGTCCAGGAAACCGGTTGGAAAATAAACCATGTTTAGTACCAATAACTTCCCCTTGAAATTGTGTTCAGTTGTGGCTGCGTCCGACGAGCCGAGTCTTGTGGCTGCGGCTTGATATAACAAGCGTGCAAATGGAAGCTGTAGTCACTACTCACGCTCTTGCGCGCTATTGGCCGCATGTGTTTGTGAAAATGGCAGCTTGCGTAGAAGATGAGTGCTCATTCTCCGAGCCCCAACGCGTCGTTACAACCAACCTGAGCTTACTGTGGGATGTGAATTTCACCGACAGAAAGCTGAGTGGCTCTGTCCAGCTAGATCTACGCATTCTTTGCGACGATGTGGCTTATTTGGTGAGAGGAACGACAGTACTATGGTTCAATTCAAGGTTGGGGACCAGGATTACACATTGCCCAATTTCTAGACACGGGATAGCCCCACTAGTGTGGCACGGATCACTCCCGATCTAATCCGTGCCACACTTTTGGGGCCGACCATATGGACATGATGGACAAATGGATGGACTTTGTCGCATGACCCGCCCCCATAGAGGCGGAGCACCAGACGAAACTCATAGTTATACGTATTACGGGTTTGACGGGTAGTAGGGTAGTGGTGCGGGGGGGCTAGGCTTACTAGGGAAAAGAGTTTCATTATATGGACGATGGTAATTGTTCCGCACAGTGACTTAATCATGTTAATATTTCAACTAAATAGCCATCAGAAAGCAAAAACATGTCCAGAAAAGTTCAATTAAGGGGGAAATACAATTCATTTAGGCCTACTTAGAAATACTATAGCCCCACTACTGTGGCACGGACTCTCGCTACCGCTTTGTCCTTAAGAATGAAGTGGTAGCGAGAGTCCGTGCCATACTGGTGGGGCTAACTTAGAAACACCTTTCAGACTACCTCTACAGTCTACTAAGTGGAGCGTTAGTATTCCTCTTTTTCCATTTTGGAAGGGTTCGTCATCCAAAATCAAAAAGGCAGAATACTAATGCTCCACTTAGTAGATCTTCTTTCAGACTGGTCTCAAACTCAAAGGGTTTATGCATGGGATGTCAAGTGGCATCCACATACATGTACATGTATCCCAACTGGGCAGTACCACTCCTTTGTGGGGGGGTTTGACATTCACCAGGTTCATACCGTCTAAGCTTACAGTCTGTGTGTCACAGCAAACAAGCATTGCTTTTTATAATTTTTTTATGCACATGCACCCACAGCTTATGGCAGACGTGTACCTGGAAAGCATGAATCTGTTCAACTTTAGTACAAATTTATCTTCTTTTTATAGAGCGTTGCATTGTAGATTTGGGATGAAGACATACACAAACATCAAGAATACCTTTTACGAAATTTGGAAAGAGTCCCATATCTGGACATCACTTGACATCCTGTTCACAAACCGTACAAGAATGGTTTGAAAAATTCTAAATGTACGCTAAGTTCATGCCCCAAAATTTGACTTACAGGACCTGTGATCACTCTCTGATGGCTAATAAACAACTGCAAGGGAAAGATAGTGATGGCCGTATATGAACATTTCCAACCTACAAAATGCATAATGCATTTTGATACATGTACAAACAAAGAGTATTGTGATTGGCTTTGTGGAAATTGATCCACAGTGTGCGTGAAATGTCACCAACTTTAGGCTGTCACATCAAACCCTTAGTTTGACAGTGCAGATTGTCGTAATTATTTTTCAGTTTGCTTCCAGAAAACTCAAAACCTAGTCCCTGCCCCTCCCCCCCATTTGATTCTGGACTTGCCCTTAATAGAAGCCACAAGCAATCTGTGCAAGGAGGCTACAGCCTTTTTTCATGCTTAGGGCAGATCCCCAACCTGTTTCTAAGTCAGAAACAGTTAAAAACACCAAAGGAAAAACAGCCAAATTAATATATTTGGAGGCCGCATGAAATTTGGTTTGATGGTCACCCGTACCGTAATTTCTTATTTCATATAAATGACGCTTAGCTTGAATCTCAGTAACCTCCATGTTTTATTCTTGTCATTTACCAAACTCATCAATGTACATTCAGGTGCTGGACACAAGTGGCATTGAAGTATTCAGTGTTTGTGATGAGTCGTCTGGTGAAAAATTGGATTTCCACTTTGCTGAGCCAAACAAGGCAATCGGAACAGCGCTCCACATTAAACTACCATCAAGGGCACAAAATAAGTAAGCACAACGACAGATAATCATGCCTTATCTGTGACTATGGGCCAGAGGCAAGTATGGGTTCTACGTATAAAATCTTCCAACATGATACATGGAATTTCGGTACCAGAGGACAGGATTCTGTAGGACTTTTTAATTTGATACGTACCTGATTTTGTTGTGGTCGTGTTGGGGACAAAAGCGATGTAATTTGATATTGGTTTTTGTCTGACTTTTGCAACAGTGTCAAAATGTGAATCAAACATGTGCTGTGCACATTACTTTTGTGGGATTCGGTGTTTAATTTCATCTTTGAAATATGTTTTTGAGTTTAAAACAACTGTTTTTTTAATTCTTATTAAACAACTTGCATGTATTTACGATATAATCTTGTTGCATCCAATCTAAGCTGGTTCAATATGTGACCTGCTCCGTGAAAATGAGTCACAAAGCCATTTTTACAGTAAGTTTGTTTCAGTTTGCATTAGTAAAGAGCAAGCTCTTTCTTTTGATCTATCACTCATTTCAATATGCTAATCACAAATGGACATTATGTTAGTGACAAATGTTGACTGTCCGTATCGGTTCCTGCGATGCAAAAGGTTTTAAAGGTACATGTACTGTACAGTTCCACATTTACAGCTGCTTCACAAAGTAACTGATAAATAATTGCTGAAAAGCAGTTAAATTAAAGACAGTTACAGGACAAAGTTCACTGTGAAATATTTTTTCAGGCAGACTGTCATATTGAAGAAAGCAATGAAAGAAGGTCATTACTAACAAGGTGTCCAAAGAAGCATTTTGGGGAAATAGTTGCTAATAGGCCTGCATGCTGTTCATTTTTAATTCGGCCAAGCACACAATCTTTGACTGAATCACACCATTGTGCCATGTATTCATGATTGTCAGTTCAGTGCGCAACATTGACTTACTGCAAATGCCAGAACATTGCAGAATGAGAGGGTGTCCCCTGTGCTGAATTTGGACACACTTTCCAACTTGACTGTTCCGTTTTCTGATTTGAATTTAAACCCTAAAACAGTTTTTTTTCTTGTTGATGGGGGGTGGGTATACAGTATTCGGTATTCACAGAGCTCAAATTAAACTTCATAGGTCATATAACTTTGTAAAGCACTCTTCTGTATATTTTGAGTACTTTTGTTGTCTCAAGCAAACATAATGCATACATGTACATGACGAATACAGACTGCACCTTTAAAGGTTTAATACTCAAATGTGGCTCATGTTCACAAAGCTGGTCTCATCTAAGCATTTGACAAACAGTGTTTTGACAGCAATCTTTCAACGAGTCTTCTCAGATTGTCTTGGTTGCCAAGATTCTGTTTTCAAAATGGACATTGTTTGCCATCTTTGAGTTTTTTTCTCGTTCACGAAAAGTCTGCAAGAGTGCCAAATACCACTTACTGTGAAGCATACAAATCTGAACAGTTCCTCAGCACATCTTTTTTTTTTTTATCCCAGAGGAGCAGAGCTGCGTATCAAAATTTCTTACGAGACTGCACCCAGCGCCTCGGCCCTGCAGTGGTTGAAGCCCCCACAGACTGCTGGCAAGAAACATCCATATCTCTTCAGTCAGTGTCAGGTACATTGCTAATGGACACTAGATGTCAAAGAAGTTTAAAAACTACCTAAAGCGAACGACTTGTATGCCTGATTTTTGCAAATTAGAAAAACCACTGGCTTGCAGTGAATCAGTTTTGGTATTCCAGCAGCACATGTCCCAAAAAATATGCACCCATCTGACCTGAGGTCATTTGGGAACAGCAGTTTCCCCCGTGCCTCCGTATGAAATTTTGAAATCTGTACACACACTGTACACGCCACAGTTCATTTCATATCCATGCCCTCTTGAAACACTTTTAAGAAATTTCATCGCAGTTTATACGCTACTGTTCAGTTGCCAGGGAAAAGTGTGAGTAAAACGGAATGATGAGACCATGTTGTAGGCTGCGCAAGTTACATGGCATTCTATCACATTGCTTAAACTGTGCCCATTGCTTCGGTTGAAAAGGTTTTGAAAAATGCTAATGGGAAATGGTATTTTGAAGTGGGCTGTAATGGTTGATTGATGGTTGGAATTTCTACAGGCTATTCACGCCCGCAGCATGGTTCCTTGTCAAGACACGCCTGGAGTCAAGGCGCCATACCAGGCAAAGGTCAGTTCCCAAGCATTTGCTGACCTCAGCATCCCTACCATTCATCAGAGTGTTCGTCGACCAATCTGTTTGGCTTTTTTTGAAGCCGTGTGTTGAGTCTGAACATTTGCAGACTTTTAAAAATCTGGACATCTCCATGTCAGCTTGATACTTACGAACCATTGAGGGCAGCAAACACCCTTGTTCTTGTGCATTATTTTTGTTTTTGAGTGGCATATTTCTCCAGGCACAATGTTTGTGGTATGTTTGTGCATAAATCCTTTAATATTTGTTTCGTGCGGTATACATGTATAGTTTTTGTAGGAACTTATTTGGCAACTGCCAAGTAAGATACAGAATCTACTTTCAAGGATGAATCACATCCAAGGAAAATTAAGCCCTGCATAAAGTAATATTGGACAGACTTCGAAAGTCCCCTGAGGCATTTTGGAGGATTTGACAGAAGACTCTTGGAGGTTAAGACTAATTAACTTGAGATCCGAATGTCCTGCGGCCGTAGGTGACAGTACCGAGGGAGCTAGTTGCCCTGATGAGTGCCGTGAGACTAGGGGAGGAGCCCTGTCCGACTGACGCCTCCAAGACGACTTACCTCTTCCAGCAATCAGTGCCAATACCTTCATATCTCATAGCCATCGTGGTCGGGCTGTTAGAGAGCAGGTTTGTGGAGAATGTTAGCTCAAGTCTGCAAGAAGCCAAATCTAGACTATGGACGTTTCACAATAGTGTGCCTCCAAGAGTTTACAACATGTTTGCCAATCACAGTGGGCAAAATCTGCTGACCCAATGGAAAGGGTCAACAGACTTCACGCTTTGGGATTGGCCAACGGGTTAAAGGTCATGCGAATTTGCATACTTTGTCAGAAGAACTGGAGTCGAAAAAAACCTATGATTGAAACAGAAAAGTTCAATTTACATCTGGTTTTCTTTGTACTTTTTAAGCAAGGTAAATGTTTGTAATGGGATGCGTTGAGTGCAAGGCACTTCACCACAAGAATTTTAATTCCGAAAATTAATCTGCAGTCGACGTGCATTGCACCAAGGAAAAAGGAGGTTGGGGGAAACCTAGGATGTTGACAAGGAATAAAATTTATTGATAGCATTAATGTGGCTTTGGCTAGCCACCTGTCCGTTAGGACAGGCAAAAAAAAGAAGAAGAAATGGAGAGGCAGTTTTTGCTGGTTCAACTTGACAAGTCCCAATTCTTAAATAAATCTTTTACACCGGTGAACGAATGGAAATTTAGCCGCGGATAGCAACAAGGGGCTCAGTTTCAAATGTTTCATTGGCAGAGGGCAATTTTCAACCTCAGTTGGGAAGGAATAGGCAGATACTGCAATCCTAGATGAATCTCGGCATTGTCATTTCTTTTTTTTTTTCAGGACAATTGGCCCTCGTTCCAGAGTCTGGTCAGAGAAGGAAAATGTTGACCAAGGTGCTTATGAATTCGCTGAGGTAAAGTTTCCCCAATTGGATTTAAGCCTCTGGAGTCCTGTTCCATCTTACACCCCTTACACGTTAGCCGTTGAGTTTTACTGAGTTTGAGGTTTTTCTGCATTTAGATTTGGATTTCTTGATCATTCCATTCTGAGCAAACCAAAGGACATTAAAGGACAGCTTAAAGGACACTGAATACCTGACTGTCCAGCTTTAAGTCTTTATTCCTTTACATTAAACTCCCTAGTTTTATTCTGTGCAGATTACAAACCAAACAATTCTGTCAGAGCCCCCAAAATTTGTACTCATGTTCTGCTCAACTAGTCAGCCGAAGTGGAAGCAATCAGTATTAAGAGTGACAGTGTTTGTGTCTCTGACAGACTGAGCAGATGTTGAAGATAGCTGAGAGTCTTCTTGGTCCCTACATCTGGGGACAGTACGACCTCCTAATCCTTCCCCTGTCCTGCCCCTGCGGGGGGATGGAACACCCTTGCCTGACTTTCGTCACGCCAACGATATTGGTGAGTCTCACTTTGGACTTATCGTTTTTGCGCCTCTCTGACAGACGGAGCAGATGCTGCTGACAGCTGAGAGTCTTCTTGGTCCCTACGTCTGGGGACAGTACGATCTCCTGATCCTCCCGCCGTCCTTCCCATACGGAGGGATGGAAAACCCTTGCCTGACTTTCGTCACGCCAACACTCTTGGTAAGATTCATCGTTCATTGTTGGTGAATGAATATGCCATCTACCCTTGGTGCATCTTTGTTTTACTTTTGGTGAATTGATTTGACCTTATAACTTCAGTGCATCTTTGCCATTGATGGAGTGATTTGACCGATTAACCTCTGTGTGTCTGCTTTCCTGTTGAGTTGATTTGACCTATAACCTTTTTGTGTCTTTGCTTTCCTGTTGAGTTGATTTGACCTATAACCTTTTTGTGTCTTTGCTTTCCTGTTGAGTTGATTTGACCTATAACCTTTTTGTGTCTTTGCTTCCCTGTTGAGTTCATTTGACCAATAACATCTGTGTGTCTGTACTTTTTGTTGGTGAATTGATTTGACCTGTAACCTCTGTGCATCTCTGTTTTACTCTTGGTGAGTTGATTTGA